TGGTGATGGAAGGGATTTTTGCTTAGGTTCACCTTCACAAGATGAGCGAGTACGCGTTGACGGTACTTCACCAGCACATGTGGCACATTTTTATTGGTTAATAAAATTATGAAAATATATTTGTTGAAATGACATTTTTGCTAATGAATTAGCACAAGATTTTGTGCACCCCCACGATTTGAGTTGGAAATCAGGTCGTCTCTATTTACAATTGATCTTCTTCACCTCATCCTTCCACACCAACATCATTTACTCCCTCACTACTGCAGTTTCTTGCTCTATTTCCTCCTTCAATTCCAAAGCAAAGTCACATTCTTCTTCATCCACTAGTTCAATTTGCTCCTCCAACTCCATGGCAAAACTGTCCAGGTCAGGTACAAGATCCTGGGCTTGTTGTGGATCGCTACTTTCTTTCACTCCATGGAGACCCAACAAGAGATCACTATCATCCCCCTCATCAACCTTGAAATCTTTGACAAATTCCTTGAGACCCTCATCCTCCTCACTGGAATTTATGTGGACTTTCTCCCCACTTGTGCCACATGTGTGTTGGGACATGTGCCTATCTTCCCTATCTTTTATGAGAGACTCAATCAAACTCTAGAGCTCACTGCTGACTGGAAATGACTGATCGCTACTAGAGCTTTGACTCACCAACACTATGTCTTTCTTGCCACTATCAGGCCTGCTTGGCTTGTGCTGCTGCTGCTGCTGCTTCTTGGTCCGCTTTTTGGGGTGTTTCATGTCGACATTGCAATCCTTCTTGGGCCTCATGGTGCCACTGTATATGAACTTGTGATGTGTGTTGCTACAACACCTATAATAGCATTGGACAGCACAATGATTGTTGAAGTAATCAAAGTTTTCTTGTTCACTACAGCGTGGGCAAAGGGGATGCAATTGCTTCAAGTAAGCCTTGAGCTTCTTAACATTCTCAAATGAAACACTAGCTAGCTGTGATAAATTTCAAACTTGGTAGGTATTGGTCCTTAATGATCACCTTCATAGCTACTTTTGACAATCAAATATCTCAAAAGAAATGGAAACAAGGGTTTTAAATTGCATAACATTGCTCATACCATGGTTGATTCCCACAAACACGACCTTTGATCACAATTCCAAACACCATCCAGCTGTAGAGCTAATCTCCTTTTCGTGTTTGGGAAGTCTATTAGTTAAAGGAAGAAAACTAAATAAACGTAATTACATATACCATACTATGGAAATTTCACTGGACCAATGCATCCTTTGGAACTTTCCACTTGTTTGCCAAGTGTATCTTCTACACGAACTGGACACTCCTGAGAGTTCGTTATTCAACTCATATAAGTCCTGGAAAGAAGTTTGTGTTACATTAAATATTGTTAAAGAACCTAAAAGTTTAGACCATTACTTCTTTGCTCAGACTGATGTCATGTTCCCAAGTGTCCCAAAGTTGATAGTATCCTGCGAAAGAGGTTTGTGAGAAATTATAAAACGGACACTCCTTTGCTTACATCTCGTGAAAGCTTTTAGTTGATCTCTTTTGTGAGTTTTTGTATGGTTTTTGTTACTTGCTTCGATTTTTCTACTTGTTGTGTTTCATCATGAAGCTTTTGCAATCTTTAAGAAAATTTGCATTTATGCTATGGGAGTGAGCTATGGCTATTGTCCTGAGAAGAGTTAGCACCTCAAGAAGCTCAAGGTGGCCATGAATCCATCTCCAAGTGACCAGAGATCCAAAGCACAGCAATGAAGAGAATCAATATGTGGAGGATGACAATTATTTCTCCAATGAGGGGATGAGGATTTCATGAGGATGAGGTAAGATGGAAGATATGCTTCTTATTGGAGCAGCATAAAAATGAAGAGGTTTTTCCATATTTAATGCTTTTACCTCCTTTACTATTTTTTTTTCTTCTAGATTACTCATAATTTTGCTGCAATTATACACTTCGAAGGTTAATACTTTATGCTTGCAGCTTTGGAACACTCTAGATCTTGCCACCTTGCCAGCATTGAAAAAGTTCTAGAAATCTCCTCTCTGCCACCTTTGCATGGATCTTCTTGTGGGTCAATCACTCATCCTTGACGATCTCATCGTTCCCAGCCAGCATCTGGTACTTGTCCCTCCTCGTGCAATTCGTGCACTTGTATGGTCTCATCCGGCAAGAGGACGAGCATAGAGGTGGCCAACTTTGTCCAGGAGAAGCTGGCGAGGGCTTCAAATCAAAGGTAAGCAATGCTATTACTAATGCCACTCAACATACATAAGGATTAACTTCACATTTAATCTCCTACAGGAACAAACTCTCACTTTGAAGAGATTCAATGTAAGCTCAATGACTTTGCCCATGTTGTTCTGAGTGATGAAGACTTACAGCACAACACACTGACTATGCTGGATGAGATTGATAGAAACACATGAACTAATTGAGCGAAATGTAATCTAGCTTGCAGCATCTCATGGAGTTTAGCATGTTCAGAGCTAGCCTTGATATCCAAGGAAGATGGCAATTTTCTTTTATAATTTCATAATGCACTTTGAAAAAATTATCTCTCTTCATTCCCAATTTTTTTGAATTTACAAAATAAAGTGGAGATGAAAAACATAACCACTATAGATCTTTCTTTACTTAAAATATACCCTGCGGCTCGATCTGAGCAGCCTCGTCTCCAAAGAACTGAAGGCTGAAACGAGAAGTCTTTCCCTTTGTCAACCTCCAGCCGCTGGATAAGTCGCGAGCTGGAAGTTATTCCCGTCTCGGACTGCTAGTCCCAGATCCACGGTTTTCATATGTTCCAAACTGTCGTCTAGCCTATGCACTTCAGCCGAAAGTGCCACCCCATCTTCTGAAGGACTTCCGCACACTGCAAGCAGGCAGAGCCCGTCCGACGTCAAACAAGGCCCCAAAAAGGACGGCGGAAGTTGGATGACTCGAGCCTTCATCATGGCAGGCTGCACCACTTCAAAAACCCGAACACAGCGTGTTACGTCGGTGACGAGAAGTTCCTCTTTGCCCGGTACAAACTCCATCCAGGTGATGTCTCTGCTGCCCCTATAGCCCCCAAGCTGAATGGTGACTCCGTTCGAAGTTAACTCCCGGAACGACTCGCCAAATCTGAAAACTTTGATCGATAAAGAAGGAAGTTCCAGAGAGCTAGAAGCCTCAAAGACTCGTCAAACGCGAGAAGATCCGCTCCTCTGTTGAATGTCTTCGGCGGTCCAGTCGAACGTGCTCCAAAGTAGCCGATAAGGTGTATGTCCAGACGGGAAGTTAGGACATCTCTGATGAAAACAAGCACCTGGCCTGACTTGAGGAGCATGAACTGAGACGAATCCATGTCGAAAAATTCCCGCTGCTCAGCGAACCTCGGAAAAATCAGATGTTCGAACTTCTGGGCCTGCGCTTCCAAGTCCTCTTTGCGGGTACGAGCTCGACTGCTTTCCACGACACGCGCTCGTTCTGAGGTACGTTTCACCTGAACATAACTCTGACTTGGCCGTTGTATCTTTTCTCGCAGTGAGTAATCGTGATTGTCGGGCATGAGGCCCCGGGTTTAGAGAGCTCCGACCTGTATTCTGCCACCAATTCGGACTTTTCTCAAGAACACTTCGTCCACGTCTTCGAAAACGTCTCTCAGAAACTTAAGTCGCCTGTGCTCATAGATTACACCCGCCCAGGAAGTTACTGCATTCCCCGCCACGAACTCTGTGTTTTCTTCCCCCGTCAATATCTCGTGCCACATTTTCTCGCATAGAGTGGCATTCCTCGTCACAAACGGGAACAGGAGATCGTTGCCTGCGAGCGCAACTGTGAAGAGTACCTAATCTTCTGCTTCGAGAATCCCGAGCTCTGCTTTGTGGCTGATTACGAATTCAGCAAACGAGCCTCTCCCTCAAGGCCTACACTGCCATGGAAGCCAAGCCAAGTCAAGAATCCAGACACCACAGTGTCGAACTTGATGTGGCTTTTGCTGCTTCTCCAGAAGATCCAGAAGTGCTTGTCCACGGTGCACGTAAAAGTGCCTTTGCTGAACACTGGACTCTTGTCGCAACCACTGCTAGTGAGCTTGAAGATGCATTGTGAACCATTGTCATTGGTTCCGGAAAGCCATTCTCCATACAGCACGAGCCCGGACTCTCGGGTGCCAGACTTCCGTCTGGTGTAAGTGTTTTCGCCATCAAATACCACTCTCGAGCCAACGAACAGCATGAAGCCCCGGCTGCTATCACCTGTCAAGACGCTGTTCAGCCTCGACTCCAGAGTCTTCAGAATTCGTTTGTCCTGATCCGTGGTAGACGTGCCAGAATTTTTCGTGTAGTCGAGAAACACTGGGACCGCTTAGTTGAAAAGCTGCACCTTGACCATGCTCCTTCGAATATATCCCTTCTTCCCAAGGACAGTGTCGCCTCAGGTAAGCCATAAGCCGGTCTGCAAAGACCTTCAACACTGCCATCTTCATCACCATCAGGTGCTGTTCGTTGTTGAAGAGTTCTCTTAGGACCTCCGTTGTTCAACCGCATTGAGCTTCGTGCTCAGATCTTTGAAGCCTTCAAGCTCAACACAGCTTGCGTATCTTCACTGAGCTGGCTAAAGGCGAGGCCGACATTCCCCCACTCCTTCATTTTCCCTGGAACGTCACTTGTGGTCCACTCGTCACCCTGGTATTTGGTCGCAGGAGTGTACTTCTCAGGAACAAGCAGAGCACACCGATGGAAACCTCCACTCGAGAGAGGAGAAGAAACACCGGAAGTCATCCGCAGCTCGAAGCCTCGAACCACCGCGAGATCTTTCTCCGACAAGCTGACAATGGATATCTGCAGCTTCTGTGTCCGGTTCTTCTTCGGTCCCAACTTCCCATTGCCATCCTTAACGTCAATGCAGCAGTAGACCGTGTGGCAGAGATCCAGGAGGTAACGTATGAAGTTGCAAGATAAGTCACCCCGTCGTGCAGCCGAGAACTTCTTGTCCGGGTGCCAGTAGAAGAGCACAAGCTTTTCCACGGAGAGTGCTCCATAGAGTCTAAGCAATAGCAAATCCTCTCGAAGGGCTTTTACTTCTTCGTCTGGAAGTTGACAGTGGTGGAGAAGAGCTTCGGCCACTATACGCTTGCTCCCGTAAAAGACCCACAGTGGCTAGAAAGGAGCTGTCCAAAAGAGAGAGCTCCAGGATCCAGCGGCCGCTAGAAGATGACTTGATCGATCCAGGAGCCAGCGTGTTGAAGAGATCGGCTCGAGTGAGCAACACCTTCTCCACGAAGCTCAGCTGCTGCGTGTCGGACGTAATCCCAATGAGATTGAAAAGAGCGCTGGATTGGAAAGACTTCCATTGGATCGCAGACACCCGCGCAGGAAAATAAAAATTTCTTGAACCTAGCTCTTACCTCGCGAAAGGCTCCAACACTTGCGCGATCGAGCCCTGTCCGCGGAGAAGCAGCCGCCAGAGGAGCCTCGAAACCCCAGCCGCCGCGCCAAATGGATATGGATCGCTGGCGCGGCGAGTATCGAGGCGATGGAAGTGACCGATCGTGCCATCACGCCCGCCATTCTATTCTATATCTCTAGGGCTTTACTAGGGCTTGTCACGAAAATTTGGAGGGAAAACTTGTCCACATCCAACGGTTCAAGATTGATCTACACGTTTATTACCAATTGCAGGACAAACCTTTAAATTCTTTTTTTGCTGTGCATTTCTATGGCTGGACGCGTGGAATCTCCTATTATCTTGACAACCCTAAAAAAATATTTGGGATCATTTAGCTAGGGCTGGTGTTGGAGATCTTGGATCCATGGCGAGCTTCACGGTCGCCAAGCGCACTACTTCTCCACACGAGGGCCAAAAGCCCGGGACTTCTGGATTGCGCAAGAAGGTATACATTCGATCCAATGCTCTCTTTTTTTCTTGGGAGAACTGAGCTGGAAAAAAGAAGAGATCGACCTCCATTTTCTGCGCAGGTGACTGAGTTCCAGAAGGAAAATTACTTGCACAACTTCGTCCAGGCCACATTCTTCGCATTGGGGGAAGACAAGGTGAAAGGCAAGTGATTGGATCTGCGAAGAGCGCGACTTTGATTCCATTTCGTGATTTCCTTCAGGGAAAACCATTGTTGTCTCTGGCGATGGTCGATACTTCTCCAGGGAAGCAATCCAAGTGAGTGGTGTTTTTGTTTCGCTTTTATCTCGCTATGGCTTAGAGGAGAACTTGCACAGATTATCATCAAAATCGCTGCGGCGAATGGAGTGCGGAGGATTTGGATCGGGCAGAATGGATTGCTTTCCACTCCTGCGGTGTCAGCTATCATTCGGAATTGCGTTGGACAAGAGGTGAGTATTTCTCGCAAGCACTTGGCGATTGATATATGCTTGTGCTTTGTTTCTTTCAGGGGGAAAAAGCATCTGGTGCGTTTATATTGACCGCGAGCCACAATCCTGGAGGACCTCACGAGGTTTTTCTTATAAGTTTTTGGAGCCTGACTGTTCGTCCTTGCGTCAGGATTTCGGGATAAAATACAACACAGAGAATGGTGGCCCTGCTCTGGAAGGCTTGACTAATAAGATCTACGAGACTACAACAACTATCAATGAGTTTTATACGGCCGATGGCCTTCCAGATGTAAGAACTTGGTGCTTTCTTCTGTTTTTATTTCAAGAGCGTGTATTGAAACGTCAGGTTGACATTGCTCAAATTGGAACTTCAAGCTTTACTGGTCCCGATGGTCCCTTCAACGTTGAAGTGTTTGACTCGGCTGACGATTACGTGAAGCTGATGAAGTAAGCTTTCTCCTGTAGCTTTTGTATCTGTGACGTAACGATCGTGTGATCAGGAGTATTTTCGATTTCTCGGCAATCAAGGAGCTCTTGGCGCGACCGGATTTCTCTTTCTGTTTCGATGGCTTACATGGTGTGGCTGGTGCATACGCTACAAAACTCTTCGTCCAGGAGCTGTCAGCAAAAGAGAGCTCCTTGTGTAACTGCATCCCCAAGGTTTGTGTTTTTCTTTCTTCCTGTTCTATACTTCAACGTTTTCTACAGGAGGACTTTGGTGGAGGCCATCCGGATCCCAATCTCACGTACGCAAAAGAGCTTGTTTTGCGCATGGGACTGGGGAAGACCGGCCCTCCTGCCGATCCACCTGAATTTGGAGCTGCAGCCGATGGTGACGCCGATCGTAACATGATCCTAGGAAAGAGGTAGTATTTATCTTTCTTGCGCTTCCAGTCCGCTTTAGCTTTTCTAAGCTAACGGAATCAATGCAGGTTTTTCGTAACTCCATCAGATTCAGTGGCTATTATCGCTGCAAATGCCGTGGATTCGATACCGTATTTTCGTTCCGGTCTGAAAGGTGTTGCGAGGTATGTGTAGACGCTGCAGCTGAATCCTTGAGTCATGTACACGATTCTCAGGAGCATGCCTACGTCTGCAGCTTTGGACGTCGTGGCGAACAACTTAAAGCTCAGATTCTTTGAGGTGATAGGATTTCTCTTGTTCTTGCTTTCCTACACACGCGTACATGTTGCGTTGCAGGTCCCTACTGGATGGAAGTTTTTTGGAAACTTGATGGATGCTGGCATGTGTTCCATCTGTGGTGAAGAAAGTTTCGGAACCGGTAACTCTTTACATTCGAAATTAGTGTTCCTGTGTGTATATTGTGTTGCTTTTGTATTTGTTTGCAGGCTCGGATCACATAAGAGAGAAAGACGGGCTCTGGGCAGTGTTGGCATGGCTTTCCATTCTTGCTTACAAGAACAAGGATGTTCCGGCTGGCGGCAAGCTTGTAACTGTGGAGGATATCGTCCGCCAACACTGGGCCACTTACGGTCGTCATTTCTACACCCGATATGACTACGAGGTAAGATGTAAGACGTTTGGCATGACTTAATGCTTTCTCTCTTCCTTTTTGTTCTGCCTGCCAGAATGTGGATGCTAATGCTGCGAAGAAAGTGATGGACCATTTGGTGGAACTCCAGTCCTCCATACCAGATTTGAACAAGTAAGCCTCAGTTTTTTCCCCAGGGGTGGGTCTTCCCTGACAGTGTGAGCATGCAGAATAGTGTCAGGGATTCGATCTGATGTCGCTGGTATCAAAGAAGCAGACGAGTTTGAGTACAAAGATCCAGTTGATGGTTCCGTCGCAAGCCACCAAGGAATCCGCTTTCTTTTCCAGGATGGCTCTCGACTTGTGAGTAAAGGAAACTCTCTTTCGCAGAGATTGTTTAAAACGTCGTCCGCTTCGTTTCAGGTGTTTCGTTTATCTGGCACTGGCTCTGTGGGGGCGACTATTCGAGTTTACATTGAACAGTACATTCAAGACAAAGCCAAGACTGGCGGAGACGCACAGGAAACACTCGCACCGCTGGTAAGTATATTTGTTTTTTGCCCAAGAAATCACGAGTGATGAGTTGGTGCTCAGGTGGACGTGGCTCTTAAGCTGTGTAAAATGGAGGAGTTTACTAAGCGTTCTTCTCCCACGGTCATCACTTGAAAGGATTTGATGTGGCACAGCACTAGTTCTTCTTTTGTGAATAAAACTACTTTTCAGGATGCTCCATAACTTCTCCACGAGAGATCGAAACCAAATATTTAATGTCATGGAATACACATGAAATTCCATGTTGAATTGTCAGAGCTTATCGTGTACTTCTTCACAAAGTAAAGGTGAGTCTACAGGAACTTTTGGAAAGAAAGAATTCGATGACAATCGCAAAGGTCAGCTTAGAATAGAATCAAAGACAGGAAGTTCATCCAAGGCATAGACGTATCGTGGAGGTGTAGCTAGGAAGAGACCTCCGTGAGCAAGGGAGAAGTGGCTGGATCAGTAGCATCCGATGCGTGCTTCCCCGAGCTCTCGCCATGACAAGGCGACTTATTAGAGTTCCCTTTGGATGCTGCCTCTTTCGCAGTTCTGTGAAACATCGTCACGGTTCCAAGAAAAGAGCGAGAGAGTCTACTCACTTCTCACGGCGTCTCTGAAGAAAACGCTGGAGTGATGCCTTTCGCGCCTGTGGCAACTCTGGGAGAACAAACAAAACGAACGTGTTAAGATCGCCCAAGCAGTGAATTCGTACCATAAGAAGAGATCACAACTTTGTTGGTGTTAGCAGCAACGTTGATCGAAGGCCACGACTTCACATTCCCGGCCAGGAGCATGATCGCATAAGCCTATGACAAGAACTTCTCTAGAAGTTGCAAAACCAAAGGGAAAAGAGATGCCTTGTCTGGCGAAACGTCGTCAAACACGGACACTGCTCCATCATAAAACATCGTAAGATTGGCGGCGTCCACAGCAGCGGCAGCCTTGAGATCGATGCTTGTCCTGCCACCCAAAGAGAGACAGACAAAGAGGAGAAAACCAAAACCAAAAGGGAAGAAGAAGGCTCAAGTAGTTCTCTAGAGAGAAAGTAAAACTCCACGTACATTGCCATGGGTTTCTTCGCTGGAGCCTCGTCGAGCGGCGGAGATGGGCTCCTCTTGGCGGCTCCACTGGAAGCCGGGGAAGGATCGCACAGGCTCTTGAGCGAGAGAAGTTGCTGCACGGCCTGGGCCTTGTTCCAAGACGGACGACGCATTCCTGGAACGAAACTCTTGAAAAAGTTCGTCGAGAGCGTTGCAGGCACAAGAATCTCACATACCCTTCTCCTTGAGGTAGCGCCGGCAATCCTCCCGAGTGAGCTGCATCACGTCCTCGTCCGTGAGCTCCTCCAGCTTCTTCAACCTCTCGGCGCTGACGCTGGTGGACACCTTCTCCTCGATCCCCAGGAAATCGACCATGCTAGACATTTCATGCTAGGATCCTCCACCGAGGGGCTCCTCCTAAAACTCGCTCGCCTCAGTAGCTAGAGCTGGCTATGGCGGACAAACTAAAGCGCACGTGTTAATCGATTTCCGCACGTGGAAATTCGAGAGAATATACTCGGGTAAGTTGGGCCAGTAAAATATTTGTTTTTCGGAGAGCTCCACCGCACCAAACAGTGCCCACACGCACATAAATCATGGCACCTGCTAGAAAAGGATTAACCAATGTGTTTTTTGTAATTCAAAAGCAAATAAAATGAAGTTGAATGAAAACTCAAATCTGTTTTCATAATGAAGTTGAATGAAAACTCAAATCTGTTTTCATAATTCAGTTCCTATAAAAACAAATGCAGCTCATGAAGCTCTCAAAGGAACCATGAACTTGTTTTGCGAGAGAGCAGCACTGCAACAAGACTAGTACGCACAAGAACCGCTTGCTTGTGAGCTGTTCCACCATTTTGTCTATAAAGAAAACATCATGCTCTTGCTTGATCGGCATGCCGAAGTCGGCCACTCCACATCAGGATTCATCAGTTGAGGATGCACAGCTGCTCCTTCCTTTCCTGCCAGTCGAAGTCGAAAATATGCACCTCATACTCTGGCGCGTCCTCGTCTTTGATCGCGGAAGCTCCCAGCATAACGTTGCACAGGCGCAGGTCCCCATGCACAAAGCTTTTCGAGTAGCCCGTGGCAGCAATGCAGGGCTTGAGCTTGGCAAGATGATTTGCGTCTTCGCGAGCACCCTCTACCACGTCCACTGCTGACACCCACCCAGCGTCACCTATGCTTACCATCCACCAGTTCATGTTGGTTTGCTTCACAGCCTTGAGCGAAGAGCCTTCGGTCATCCGGCTGCACAACGTTGTCAAGATTCCTCAGCGGCCAAGGGATGGTCGCGCCTTGCCGCCTCACAATGAGTTCTTCTCTCTCCGCTTCCTCCAGGAAGATGCGAATGGCCCCAGTCGTCATGCAAAGTCTCCATAGCACGTCGTCACTGCGACGGGCTCGGTCCAAAGTCTGTGGTCGCTCTCCATCGATGCGGCGAGGACATGCAGGACTTCCACGTTGATCGCGAGCGCATTGGGGCTTTCCAGTCCAGGAAGAGACGTCCCACTCTCTTCGTGGCCCATATCGGCTTTCACTCCTCCAGAAAGCGCCGCGTATGGTCTAAAAGCCTCCCCGAGGCATTTGGCCAAGAGCTTGATTGTGATCTCGTATACCGCTCCGTCACGTACTCGGGATCATCTCCCAAAAGCTCTTGGCAAACTTGAGATCCGTAGCTTCGATCTGGCCATGCTTGAGGTTGTTGGCGAGGTTGGAGAAAGGCTCGTAGAGCAGTGGTGGAACAGCAGCTTGCGGGACGTAGCACGGAACTCTGCTGGATTCTGGGCCTGGTATTCCCTCCACACGCACAGCTCGGACGGTCGATGATCTCTTGCTTTGGAATGAAATTCAATCGCATTTTTGGTGTCTATGACCTCAAAAATACTGATTTGAGCTTGCACGAAGCTCTCGAGCATCCGAGGTTCCTCCTCCGTCGATATGAGTCTAGATGCGAATCAGGATCTGGCGGCTAATGTAAAACCAATTTCTGTACAGTGTAAATTTAGGCTGAAATTTTTAATTTAAGAAAAAACAGAATTAGAAAAGAGCTTCTTGGTTAGAAAAACAATTTTATATTAACAATTCGATAAAAGTGGTAATGACCAAGAGCAACTGTCAAATTACCCTTGACTTCCATCTGCACAACCATGAGATAAGGTTGGAACGCAGAGCAATAGGGTAGCATTTCGTTTTCAGAGAAATACTTTATTCTTGCATGATTGTCTTTGCATGTGTCCTGGGAAATCTCTTCTGAGAGCGTCATTGTCATCCTTGTCATTGAGCTGTCTAAAGAGCAAGGCTAAAAGATCTCAGAGCTTGAGCGATAGTAATTCTGTAGATGTTTGTGAGTGAAAAATGGCCTCAGATTTGAGACAGTTTAACTCACTCATAATCATCTGGAGATCAATATCAGGAAAGGTTCCTGAGCTAGGTTTGTCATCATCTCTAATTCTATGGATTTGGTATTCATTGATACTTGTATAATGCCTTGTTCAGTTGAATGTTTTATGTGTTTATGCTGGCTAATCCCATAGAACACGGCATTATGCTTTGGTCATTTAATGAAGAAGTTTGTAGATGGCGGATGCTAGCTTACTGTTGCGGGGGTGCATTAATAATCAAGAGCATCCATTAATAAATTAAATTAAAAACATATGAGGATTCTGAAATATTTTAGAATTTACAAACATAATAAAAGCTTTTTTTTGTTTGTGGTCCTGAACTTTGCAGCTTAAACTCCAGCAAAATAGCTTGACATGGATTATGGAATACTTGACTGATAGTTGTTTTATCAAGATTTATGAAGTGGCACTAATTATGCCAATATATACATGCCTTAAAAAAACGTTGTCTCCAAATCTTATTTGTAAGTCAAACTAAATTAAATAATTGAATGATATATGTGTTTTAAATTTATATATCTTATAGTAAATTATTTTTGCATACAAATTTTGGTATTTTTTGTTTATTTTAAGTTGTATGCAAAAATGTATAGTACAGCAAGATATATGAATTTAAAACATATATATGCTTCAATTATTTAAACACACAATAATGTGTGACTTACAAAATAATGCTACTGCATTACTACCCATTGCATGCTCAAAATCCACACTCAATGAGACAAATAAAAAATAATCAGTTAGAAAATCTCCATCAATCTTCTCCTAGTGGGCAATGGTGTTGTACCAGAAGGAGCTCAAGTGATGGTGACCTAGGTTGATCAAGAGACACTCTCTCTCCAATTGAAGCTAAAATCTGTGAGAGTATCTTTCATAGATCACATGATTCTGCTGTGGAGGGATTCTTCATCAGCCATGTTGTCATGGATGGCATCGGAGGCCATGGAGCTCACACCACATGACCCAGACCGATCTTTGATACAATCAACAAATACATTTTTACCACTAGACAAATATGCATTGTTTTACGCATGAATAGTTTTATGTAGTTAGACCAAATGGTTGGACATCTTGTTCTTTCATAGATTTGCAAATAAAATGTTGAGTGAGAAAAACAAAAAGGCTTGCCATCTACTTTATTCTAGATGTTGCATACAGTCTCCCATTAGATGCATGGATCTCCACAAACATGCAATGGAAGCTTTATGTCTTGGTTTTCCATTTATAACTTACAATAAATGATCTTTGTTCCACACTTTTTGCATCTTAACAAACCTTGACAAGACCATTCAGTGTGTTTTTAAAAGAAAAGAAAATGAAACACTATAATTAACTTGGCCATATGATCAATCTTCCCTCATGGGACAATTGCCTTCTTGCTAGCAATGCCAAAAGATCCATTTCAAAAGCAAGGAGAATGGCTCTTTATGTCACTTGTATGATGTATTGCAGACACAAATAGTAACGAGGGTGGTAAAACCTACTTAAGAATTAAAAAATAGACTCATAGAAAGCAAGGTTCAGGCTCTTTTAAATTCTATTATCGGACACTCTTTCAATAAATGTGTCATAGAGTAAAATTGATAGAGTCTTCACCATTTATCTTATGTTTCTTCATGGATAAATGCCTAAACTTTGGCATTCCCGAGTTTTAGAAGAGCTAGCCAGCCACATAGTTTGATCGATTGTTGCCTCCAGACAAAGGTCTCTCTTTTATTGCTACATGTTTGCAACAACTGAGTTAAAACAGAAACCCACAATATTACCTACATGACACTGACAGTCTTGGTTGAGCAATCATCCTCAGAGCAGCTGGAAGTTTGGATGCTCTCAAATGAAATAGATTATGCAATCTAACAACCCCTAGTTTAAGAGGTTTGAGATTGATCCCAAAGTTCTCAATAGCTTCCTCAACTTTCTGACCTCCAATATGCTCCCCAACTTTGCCATTGGCACATTTTCTTGAGCTATAGTCCAAGCTCTCTTCATGCATATGGTAAATTCTTTTGGAATTTTGGCAACTTGGAGCTGTAGTCCAAGCTCTCCTCCTAGTAGTGATGATGGTGGTGGTGGCAATCATGCTGGTAACTATCATGCTCTCAATAGTGTCTTAGTCACCATCTAAGGAAAGATCTTCTAATGGTTCCTGCTGCAGAATTGGAGCCTTTGGTGCCCCTTGAGCTGTGCTAAGATCTCCCTAGGATACAAGTACTCATTCAAGTGGCTTGCAATTAACCACCTAAAGCTTGCCATACTCCTGGCCACTTGTGAAGCTCCTCTTCAATTGGTATAATGCCATTGTGCCAATGGCCATTAAAGTCTGCACATTAGGAATATTCTTGGTGACATCACTTTGTCTGGAAAGTCTCAGTGCTATGCCCTGCATGTCTCATGCAAAAAATATTATGCACACAATCAAGTTTAGATTGTTATTATAGCAATCCAAATGTAATTGTGTGCATAATATTTTTGTATGCAATTGAAAATAAAAACATATATCTTCATATGCGCATATTCAAAATATTGTAAATTAAAAAATAACTGAAATAATAAGAACATAAATATAGAATATTAAAAAAATTAAAAAGTATTTAGTATTCATTTCTAGTTAAAATAACTCTCTGATTCTTTACTAGCATCAATTGATAAAAATGCTATCAAACTGTGATTTTATCTAATCAAGCTATGAGAAGCAAAGATCTCCTCATCTGCTTCACAATAGGAATCCCCATAAGCCTCTCCTCTTGAGGACCTGATCTATCATATTCTGCAAATAATATTCTCATAGTATGGATTTTTTTCAACTCATGAAAAACATTTTTGCAGATCCCTTTCTCAAAGTTGCTACCATTATATATTTTAGAGGACTATTAATCCATAAGAAGATTGCTACAAAAGTCATTTAATGTAAATCCAGTTTAAAATGCTCTTACTAGAAGAATATTCAGCATGCATCTAAATAATATTGTAAAATCCATCAAACAAAGTAGTAATAAGACAGTCAATGTAGAGATTTGTCAAATCTACAGCTAAAAATGTACTGTTTCAATCTCCAAAAACTGAATTTTTTTGTCTTCTCATTGCCTCTCCCTGGGACCCCGTCCCTCCTTTTTCATCCTAAAGCTATTGCTCCAAAATATCCTCCTGGTTGATCCATGGATCATCATCAAGATGGTGCCAGTTGCGTTGTCTCGAGCATGATGTTGAGCTTTTGCCTGTGACGGTTGGAGTTCGTGGAAGCGTCCCATGGCATCCGCTGCAGTGGCTTGAGCAAGCTTGGATTGGCGAGAAATCCCCCGGTGCGCTGGAAGTTGAGAAGCTTGGACCGGAACTGTGCCTTCATGCTCTCGGACACTCCCATGGTTTTCTTGAGCGGCATGGACTTGGCCGACGACCTGTCGTGCTCCCATCTGTGCGTGAGGAAGCTCGACGCCAGCGTTGTCATCTCGTGGAGCGTCATGGGGAGCGCGTTGGCGTTCTTGAGCGCCAGAGCTCGTCCCTGGTGTCTCTGGCAGTGAGCACACTTGGTCTCGGCTGGAAGTCCGCTCACGCTCTTGACGTAGCCCCGGGTGGTGAAGCAGTGATCCTGGTGGTCGTGTTGGTGGCGATGGTGGTGGTGGTGGTGGTGGTGGTGGTGGTTCTGCTGCTGCTGCCCGATGGTGCTACCTTTAAGCTTCTTGGTGGTGAAGAAGTCCGAGATGGTCTTGCTGCCGAAACCAAGTATATGATCATGCTGCTGCTGCTGGGGAGAGTTTGACGACGTCGTTTCCAGCTCCGACGAGTGCTCCCTGCGATGGTGGATCGGGATCTTCGGGCATGGCTGTGCTTCCACCCGGGGAAAGAGAATGTCGTTGAGTGTCGTAGTGGCCTCGTCCACTGCCGAGCTTCGAGCTGAGGCTGAGTCGGGCCTTCTCCCGCCAACTCGCTCCGGTATCTCGTCGAAGAGCTCCACCAGCCTTTGCACGCTTTCTTCCCGATCGCCTGGAGCTTCCTCGACTTCCACTTGGACAATCTCTTCCTCCACCTCCATCGCTCTCGACTTTGGCGTCGACGTCGCGGGAGAGGTGATGGGAGATCCAACCAGTGACATTGCCATGGACACGAGGGAGACTGTCGGCGATGGCGATTTCTTTCCGAGCCTGCTCGACGAGCGCTTGACAGTGGTCGTCCTGGTTGTGGTTGTGGTGGTGGCGGTCATCGTCGTGGTCGTGGTTGTCGCGGTTTGTCCATCGTTTCTCACTCGGCAAGCAGTGGCGGCGGCGGCAGCGGCAGCAGCAGCAGCAGCACGTTGGCTCAGTGCCTCTTTCCTCAGGATCGCTACGTTCTTGGCCGCTTCACGAGCTCTCTTTCGCAGCTCCAGCTCTGCCCGCCGCTTCTCGGCCTCCTGCCTCACCACCTCTTCCTGCCTCTTCTCCTCCTGGACTTTGGCGATCTCTTTCTTCACTTTCATGTCGAAAGAGTGCGTGAAGAGCTCGGAAGCTCCGGCTAGGCACCGGTCGTAGAACTTTTGCAAGTTGGCTTCCTCGGTCGGGTAGATCATGTCGAAGCTGCCCCTGGTTTCGCCCTCGACGTGGTTCTCGCGAGTTTCCTTTGTACTGACTTCCTCGGCTACGTCAGAATCTTCGCATTCCTCGACCAGCTTCCCATAGAGCCTGAGCTGCGAGTCCCGTCTCTCTTCCATCCTAACTTTGCTCATTCCTGTGGGATCGATGTTGACGAGCTTCAAAGTGTCGAGGATAAGTGCCTCCTTCACCATGTAGTCCAGCGGAGTGTCTATAGAAAACGAAGGAGAATGGTTCACCTAGAGAAATCTCCCAGTCAAAAACTCATGCTCGGCAAAAGTAAAACCTTGGTTACACTACCTCTAGCAGCCACGGCTTGCACTTCTCGTCGACAAGAACATCCAAGCCAAGCAGCTCAAAACACGAGCGTCCATTGTCGTCCTCGTTGAGGCACGTCTTGTAGCTGTGAGCGAGAACTGGGACGATGGCGATGATAGTCAAGACCACCATCCTTTTGATCTGTGCGTAGAGCTGATTGGTGTCAAAGCCCTCCGCTGCCAAAGCCTTGAACAACGCAGTGAGTGTCCACTTGCTACCTTTGTTCACTTCGGTGGTACTGCTGTTAAACTCAAACTTGGAGCTGTACTTGTTGAGCGAGTAGTTCGTGAGGTGCATCCGGCTCACTTTGATGTTCTTGTGGTCGGGCTTCATGTACTTCTCCGTGCAAAATCGAGCCAAGCCTTCTCTGCAAATGCAAACGATGGATTCAGCCATGGAACAACGTATAGAAAACACAGGACGACTTACCTGTACAAGTAAAGTCGCAGTGGATTGCACGACAGTATCAACACGTAAATCCGCAAATCAAACTTGTAGCCATTGAGCAGCATCGGCTTGGTGAGGTACTTCTGTGCCACGAAGTTTGCTCCATGCAGACCTTTCATGGCGTTCTTCACCTCCTCGGAAGTTTGGACGAGAACAACGCCTCGGCCCTGTGGAGAGGACGAGATCAAATGGCAGATCTTCACGCTATAGAATCCAAAGAAAGAGAGAGTGAAGTTACCATGGAGCCAGTGTCGGGCTTGAGAATGTAAGTTCGCGGCTTGGGAGTGTTAAATCTTGCCATGAACTGTGTGAGCTGGTTGGGGAGGATGAAAGCGCGCGGGAAGAACTTATATGCTGCAGGAAAGATCCTGTAGACATAGAATATCAAAGTGCCTGAGCAAAGCAACAGTTACCGATGATCACGGAAGAAACGAGAAATAGTTCTCTAACTCTTAAAGAGATTGTCAAAGCGAAAGCTTGCGAAACATGGACGAGAACTTACTTGCGCATCATGGAGAGGTTGCGAGCCAGCGCCTTCTTGCGGCAAATCTCCAGCATTCCCACGAAATGGTTGATCTTCTGGCCGCGCTTGAGCATCATGAGCTTGTCGGGACCGATCGAACAATCTGTTCTTCCAAGAAAGAAGAAAACGAGCGTGAGATGAGTTTCGCAAAGAAAAAGATGGAGCTAGCTCTAGATCACCTGTCCAGATGAGATGCCATGGCTTGCTATCATCGGTGGTCACCTCCCAGCCCAGCTTTCGCAGCACGATGCGAAGGATTTGATAGCGGCAGCACGAGAGATCCACGCGAATGTAGCCACACACGGCCTTCTTCTTCTTCCTCCTCTTCTTCTTCCTCTTGGAGTTGAGACCCGGGGCGACGATGGCCAGCGGCATCTCACTCCTGGCTCTCATCGCGGGCGCCCAATTGGATCAGCATGCCCGGCAAGGGCATGAGCTCGATCGATCCATGATCAGCAGCAGTAGCCACTGGGTGAAACCGCCGATCCTGTGGGAAAACGCTTGGGGTTCTTCACGCACCCCATCGCCCTCCAAGCATTCACTGTGCTGTGGACTTGGATCGCGCAGCCAATCACCGCCGCCACGCTTGGCATCTCTCCCTCCCATCGCTCGCCGCCCCTCGAAGGGCTGCTATGCCGGCCGAATCCGACGTGGCGCTTCCGGCTCCCACGGCGGACGCCACCTGGCTCCGCCACGTCCGCCCTAATGTTTTAAAACCCTAGCTTAGCGCTGCGAGCTATGGAGGCGGGGAAGCTCCGCGAGGAAGGGAATGCGCTCTTCAAGTCGGGGAACTATCTCAAGGCGGCGGCGGTCTACACGCAGGCGATCAAGGCCGATCCCGGCAATGCCACGCTCTACAGGTAAGAAACGGGCTGGATTCTTCTTCGATCGCGTCATTCCTTTTCGTTCTTGGTGCGCAACTGCAGCAATCGCTCGGCGGCGTTTCTAAATCTTCTCAAAGTTACCAAAGCTCTCGCGGACGCTGAGACGACCGTCAAGCTCAATCCGACATGGGAAAAGGTTCTTGCATTCTTTCTTCTCTCCCAGGTTGGAGTGGATCATCTTGCAACGGTCTCATTCATTCGTTCTAGTAGCGCTTCAAGGATTTTTGCTTGAGTGGATCATCTTGTAACGATCAGTTACTCGTTCTAGTAGCACTTCAAGGATTTTTGCTTGATTGGATCATCTTGCATCCTTTCCATCATTCTAAAGGCTTTTTGTTCATCTTCCAACTATCGCTCTTGTCTCATTCATTCATTCTAGTAGGATTTTTGCTTGAGTGGATCATCTTGCAACGATCACTCATAAACAATGCCTCGGGTGTTTCTACAGGGATATTTCAGGAAAGGGTCTGCACTAGAAGCTATGGATCGCTACGATGATGTAAGCTTTACGTCCCTAGTGCCTCGATATACTCTGTCACTTATTGATGCCTTGGCTTGCGCAGGCGCTTGCGGCGTACCGAGAAGCCTTGGAACAAAATCCCCAGAGCGCAGAAGTTACCAGTAAAATCAAAAGGCTCTCGCAGTTGATCAGAGACAGAAAACGTGCCAAAGAGAAACTGGCAAAATCAAACGGGACTACGACAAGCTCGGCACTGGAGAAGATCAAGACCGAGTTTGTGAGTATAGAATTCTCCGCTACACTACAGTCTTTCATTTTCGATTTGGCAGGGCGACACAGATATCGAGAAGAAGTCTTACAACTTTGTCAAGGAAGTTATTGAATCGGCCATGAGGGAATGGAGCGAAAACCATGGAAAACTAGATCCAGCTGTTCGTTTCTCCGTCGGGAATCCCCCAAAGCCACCAGCCGAGGAGGTTGCAACGCTCGTCTCGATTTCCAAGGTATACACGAAGCTCTTCTTCCTCGTTCTCAAACTGACTTTCGTTTGTTTTAAGGCCTTCGAGTCTCCGGACACATTGTCCAGTTGTGTGTCTTTTCTACGACAGTATGCTGTAGATACAGCTTCAGAGTGCGCTTGCGTGGTGGTGTCAAAAGCAAGCATCGCCTATCCACAGGTAAGAAGAAGTTCTGAGTTTTACTTCAGCTTGTAAAAAAAACGATCTTTTACTCACAGGTGTGGAAGGGCCAAGGCAGTCGGAAGTGGAAACACACACAGTCAGACGGATTCTTCGTACAATTGGAGGCACCGTCGCTGAGAAGAGCGTGGTTTATTTCTAGTTTTGTTGACAAGGGGCAGACAATTTGCAGGTAGAAGCATAGCGATTTCCTTATCTGTGCTGATAAAACTTGTATTCTCTTGCAGGGACATCGAATCTCTTGATATCGATTTGCATGCAGTCATGGCTCCGCTTTTTAGATAGTGTATTCAACTTGCTACGGACGAGTTTTAACCACGCGTGTACAATCACTCAAAAACTGGTGCTGCGTCTCGGCAAAGAGATGGAATGATCAACGAGATAGCGGGAGGCAAAGAAAAAAACCTGTGAGTAGTTTCAAAGTTTTCTCTCGGATCGGATATGGCTTAGAATTAAGAGTGAAAAGGAGGGGATGGACCCGAGATGGAGATGGTGTGCCCGACACCATCGTCACGCAGTGACATGGACGAGCTGCTGTTGAGCTTGGTTAAGTGGTCAATTTGCCAACAAGCTCTCTTTGTTTGCGTAGCTCGAGTGCCACAATCAGCTGGAAGGAGTGGGATAAGCAAGCAAAGAAACAAGCAAGCAAGACGAACAAGACGATGAGCTCTCAAGCGAGAAGAGAAAGAAGAAAAAACTATGGCCAGAGCTTTGATCCGTGAGCCATGTTGGTTGGCTTGTCTCCATCGCTAGTGCTATTCGAAGATTAAGATTTGGACATCCATGCCATGTCTCTATAAAAAATCGATTTTTTCTCTGAGGTACTCTAAAGGAGGTCCTCTAAAGTATAGAGGAACGTACGTGAGTCCTCATTTATTGGCTGGGCGCCGTCAGATCTTAAGAGAGGAGAGAGATCCTGGGCCGTTAAATAAGATGAGACAGCAAAGCGCCGCGTGGCACCATCTGGGGGTTTTAGGGTCGTCGTCGTCGTCGCGGGGCATCTTCTTGGCGGGCGCGCATCATCCTCGACGCGATCGATCGCATTTCACTCGCCAGCGATCGATCCATCGCATTGGTGAGTTGATGATCCCCCTCCCGGAGTGAGTAACGCGGGATCGCGATTCCTTTCTTTGCGATCATGGATTTCGCGTGTGTGCTTGCTTGCTTGTGCTTGTTTGAGAGCTAGCTAGGTCGCGCTAGGGGTAGTGCTTGTGCCGTGATGCGATCATACATCCAACGCATTGCACAGTGTGTGTGTGTGTGTGTGTGTGCGCGCTTTCAAGCTTTGCTAGTATTGAGCCAACTTAGTCTAAAGTTTGTCGCTGGGAGGTGGGGTCTCTAGCGCACAGAGTGTACACAGTGTGTGAGCGTGTGCGCAGTTTTCTCTCCTTTTGTGTGCGCGTTTTCTCGTTGAATCTTCTCTGGCTGCTGGCTAAAAATTTTTTCTCCTTCTTTCTTCTATCGCAGTGACAAAAAAGTTTGTAGCTGGCTTGCTCGCTCGCTCGCTCGCTCCTTCCTTTTGATTTGAGTGATTGTTTGTGTCAGTCGTGGCTACTTCTTCCCGATTTCGCATTGGGTGTCAGGTCAACGTGCTACAGGGCGCTCGCATACCAAATTCCTTTTTTTTCTCGAGTCTCTTCTTCTTCCTTGCTTTGCCTTGCTTTGCCTTGCTTGTATGTAGAAATGGTATGTATATAGGCTTTCTTTGTTTCTATGTGTCCTGAGCTAGGAACACTAGGCGTGGTGGTGATAAAGAGTTTTTTGTTAGCGGTTTGTCGCGTCAAGGGAGATGCTCTCTACAGTAGCCTGATTCGTGCAAGCTCTGTAGACTATTTCTCCTCTCCTTTCTCGGTCTGTCTTTCCCAATTCTTGTGGTGTGGAGGTGAAGGGGTCTAGATCTGGTTTGTCTCCCTCATTCTGTTTCGTCGCGCTTGAGCTTGGTGCAAGTTCTCTCCACTGTCTTCTTCATGGTACGTTTTCCTCTTCTTGTACTGGCTCGGCCGAGATCTTGTGGACGAATTTGACGCTTGCTTTGCTCCGCGGTTGCAGTGACCACTGCTGAAGTCGCGGCGCTGCTATGGGTGGATCACAGAAGTTGTTCCAATCGCTTGGAATCATCAAAGTCAAAAGCTCATCTGAGGAAAATGTAAGACCTCTTCTTCCTTCTTGCAATCTTGTCTTTGGCACTGTCTCTGAGCACCAAATTGCTGGCTAGAGATGGCTGGCATCTTGCAACACTCATTAATGCTCTCCCTGACTTAAATTTTCTTTGCAGCAGAAGAAGCCGAAGAAGGCCAAGGGAAGAAAATGGAAGTTCTGGAAATCGTCTATCCATGCCACAGATGACAAGCGGCAGGTGGTGGTGAGGAAACCCGATTTTCCCCATGGTTCTCAGGACTGGGCTGCCGTTGTTATCCAGACGGCCTTTCGCGGATATATGGTAAGCACAGTAGCTGCTTGAGTTTCCTGCTCATCTCTTGGATTTCCAGGCTCGGAGAACGCTCCGTGCCATTAAAGGTGTCATTCGGTTGCAAGCGCTCGTCCGTGGTCGCACCGTCAGAAAGCAAGCATCCATCACGCTTCGGTGCATGCAGACTCTGGTCAAGGTCCAACGCGCTCGCCAGACGCGACTTCACGAGGCGTCCACAATGCGTAACATAACTCATCGTCCGATTCCAACCGACAAGACTCCAGAGGTCTGCTTTCGCTTCCTGTTGTTGCAACTTTGAGATGAGCGTGTCCCGTTCTCGCAGAAAGGATGGACTGATGGAGTTCGCACGAAGGAAGAAATGAAGACAAGGATCCAGCAGAAGCACGAAGCGGCTGTGAAGCGCGAGCGCGCCTTGGCGTATGCTTTCTCACATCAAGTAAGTCACAAGCTAAAGATGTTGTTTTGATTGACTCCTTTCGCAGTGGAGGGCTCATCCTCGACCACCAACGAAAGGCGCGGAGAATCCTGAATGGGAGTGGGGGTGGCTGGAGCGTTGGATGGCCTCACGCCCCTGGGAGAATCACACCGTGGAGGAAGTTCTAAAGAATGGAGTCCACAGCAAGAGCTCCGTGCAACCGCCGAGCAAGAGTCCCAAGGAGAGCGAATGCGTTGACTCGCCAAAGAGCGTCCAATCTAACAGTAAGTTCCAGCCGACACCGGCCTCCGAGATAAGCTCGCCAGCGTCCGTCAAGGTCAATTCCACTCCAGGCAGGACGACGAGCAATGGCTACACCAATTACGTGGTGGTGAACGGGGTCGAGAAACCGGTGGTCAAGTCGAGGTACATGAATCCCAGGAAAACTCCAGGCACTCCCGACCAGAGCAAAGATCGACCATCCAGCCTTCCAAAGCAGAGACCATCAAGCGAGGATCTTGAGTTCCAGAAGAAGCGGCTCTCACTCCCAACTCCCAAGATCAAGGCTCTCAACAAAGAAGTGACTACTCCCACAAAGTCTCCGGTGGTGACGCCCAAGAAGGCTACCATGGTGCTGTAAGCTAGCTCCGCGTCCTCCTCAGGTGCGAAGCTCCAGAGATTTGCTTCCTCTTCTCTACTCGCTGGTCGTCACAGTAGCTATCAATCATGTTTTCACTAACAGGAGCTCGAGAGATTCGTGTCCTTTGGAGCTGTGCCAAGCACTCACGATCAAGGATAAAAAGAAAGGCACACAAGATAGAGTTTTGCGTGGGATTTGATTGATCGATAGCTCTTTCTCTCTTTGTCTCCTTTGTGTAATTTGCTCTTTTTTTTTAATGGCTTTTGTAAATACAAGAAGAATGTTCCTTTTAAAGAAGAATTCTGGTAACTAACTGCTATCGTTCAGCCGGCATGGCGGTTGCCACCACTGGAACGCTTCACATGAATTACCGTTACTCACCGACGAGTATAAAAACTGGTCAGGCGAAGAGGAGAAGAGCTCCTGTTAGTTCCAAGTGACTGCTGAGAGTCCTCGCCACTTCCAGCATTCCAGCAGCACTTCCGCAAGATGAGAGAGTGCATCTCGATCCACATCGGCCAGGCCGGGATCCAAGTCGGCAATGCCTGCTGGGAGCTCTACTGCCTGGAGCACGGCATCCAAGTGAGAAACAAACCAAAAACTTGGATGCCACTCACCTCTCAAAGCTTGTAACTCTTTTCGTTTCGCGTGTGCTCGAGCAGCCTGACGGACAGATGCCCAGCGATAAGACTGTAGGAGGCGGCGACGATGCCTTCAACACCTTTTTCAGCGAGACTGGAGCCGGCAAGCACGTCCCGAGATCCGTGTTCCTGGACCTGGAGCCGACGGTCATCGATGAAGTCAGGACTGGAACTTACCGCCAGCTCTTCCACCCGGAGCAGCTCATCAGCGGCAAGGAAGACGCGGCAAACAACTTCGCCCGCGGTCATTACACCAGTGAGTCTGGACGAGCAGGCTGCGAGAGCTTCTGACTCGTTGCCTTTCTTGCAGTTGGAAAGGAGATTGTGGACCTGTGCCTGGACCGCGTCCGCAAGCTCGCTGACAACTGCACTGGCCTCCAGGGATTCCTCGTCTTCAACGCTGTTGGAGGTGGCACTGGCTCCGGCCTCGGCTCTCTTCTGCTGGAGCGCCTGTCCGTCGACTACGGCAAGAAGTCCAAGCTCGCCTTCACTGTCTACCCGTCCCCGCAAGTCTCCACTGCCGTTGTAGAGCCATACAACAGCGTCCTCTCCACGCATTCCCTGCTGGAGCACACCGACGTGGCCGTCATTCTCGACAACGAGGCCATCTACGACATCTGCAGGCGCTCGCTCGATATCGAAAGGCCCACCTACACCAACCTCAACCGGCTTGTGTCTCAGGTATCCATCTTTGCTCGCACCCCGTCTTCCTTCCAAGCACCTATCTCACGTCCTCCGTGTGTCACAGATCATCTCGTCTCTCACGGCTTCGCTGCGCTTCGACGGTGCTCTCAACGTCGATCTCACGGAGTTCCAGACCAACTTGGTGCCGTACCCGCGTATCCACTTCATGCTCTCCTCGTATGCCCCGGTCATCTCGGCCGAGAAGGCATACCACGAGCAGCTGTCCGTCTCGGAGCTCACGTCCACCGCTTTCGAGCCTGCGTCGATGATGGCCAAGTGCGATCCCCGCCACGGCAAGTACATGGCGTGCTGCCTCATGTACAGAGGAGACGTCGTGCCCAAGGACGTCAACTCGGCCGTGGGAACCATCAAGACCAAGAGGACCATCCAGTTTGTCGACTGGTGCCCCACCGGATTCAAGTGCGGGATCAACTATCAGCCCCCGACTGTAGTTCCTGGAGGTGATCTTGCCAAGGTCCAGCGGGCTGTCTGTATGATCTCCAACTCCACCAGCATTGCAGAGGTCTTCTCCAGGATCGACCATAAGTTCGACCTCATGTATGCCAAGCGTGCCTTCGTCCACTGGTACGTCGGCGAGGGGATGGAGGAAGGAGAGTTCTCGGAAGCCCGAGAAGACTTGGCAGCTCTGGAGAAGGACTACGAGGAAGTTGGCGCCGACTCCACCGAAGGCGAAGGCGAGGACGAAGGTGAAGAGTATTAACTAGACCAGCTTTCGTTGTAGAGAACCGCTATTTCTTGAAGCTCTTCTTCTTCACGTAAACCGTAAAGCTACCTGGAAACTCGTAAGTTCCATCTCTCAGCTCCTTCTGCGTCTTGTAGAACCAGTCCATCTTGATGTTATCGATGGGTATCGTCGTGCAATCTGTACCCGGTCCCATCTTTCTGGCCTTCACCACCCTGTAAGCGTAGAGCAGCACGTCGATGTCCGAGATATACTCGATCGTGTTCCTGTAAATCCCATCCGCATCTGGCTTCATGGTCGACAGCTTCGCTTTCACTCGCTCGATGTGAGGATCCGAGGAGAAGAAGCGAGGCGTGTAGTCGTACTTGTTTGCTATCCTCAAGTACTTGTCTAGCTCCCCGCGGAAGTATCTCATCCTCTCCTCGCTGGTGGCGTTCTTGGGCATCGTCTTGTAGTGCAAGCTCTCGTTGGGATTGGGATCCAGTCCACTTCGTTGGCCCTTGGGACGATCCCTCACAAAGTCGAGATCTTCGTCCTTGACATCCGTGGTCATGCTAAACTGGCGCTTGAGCTCCGTCCACTTGTCGAAAGGTATGTCCCCTCGCAGCTTCTCAACGTCGAAGTCATCAACGTCCAAGTCGTCGTCCTTCTTCCTCTTTTTCGGCATGGAATCGTGTTGGTTCTTCATCTCGATCCAGTCCTCGTACGAAACTCCAGCTCTCGCGAATGGCGAGAACTTGTAGTCCGTCGAGAAGGAGTAATCCACGTCCTCGTCGTCCTCCGTGTCCACCTCCGACTCCGAGCTGGGTTTGTAGTTCTTGTCGAAAAAGCCGTAGAACTTTGTCTCGGTGGTAGGCTTCGGGAACTCGTAAGTTGGATCCAGATTCTTGGCGCCGTCCGGATCCTCGTCCCATACCTCGGGATCGATATCCAAGTCCTCATCGTCGTCCACTTCCTCTTCTTCATCGAAATCCTCGCTATCGCTACGCGAGTAGCTGCGAGAAAAGCCTGGAATAAAGAAAATCCATATCTAAGGCTGGATCAAAAATTTCTTCACGCATACCGAGTGATAGAGGCGATGGAATCGTGGCGACCGCGCCGCGCATGGACCTGTGCGGCCAATCCATTCAGACCTAGGCGCTAGAAACTCCGAAAAGCTGCTCGCTTACCTTGCGATCGACAATGTAGGGCGATAGCGCCATGGAAATTGCCATAGCCGCGCTAGCATTGCGCTTGGCGAAATAAAACCCTAGACCCTCTCTTCCCTGCCACGTCGGAGGCTATCCAAATTGCCAATAGGCAATCCTCAAGTCCACGTGGCAGTTTGCGAGTGGCCGAGAGCATTGAAAGAAATCTTCATACTATGCCACAGAAGTGAATTTGTGGCTGGGCAGCGCGCAAAGACGAGCTCGTTGCTCGCGCTACCTAGGGTTCTTAGCGCCGGCATTCTCGATTCCCACCGTTCGATCGCTCGATCGAGCATGGCAGCCGCCGTGGTGGCCACAGGGATCGACGCCGCCACCAGCTGGAAGCAGCAGCTGGTGTTTGGGAATGGCATCAGGGTTTCCAGCTCCTCCGCCGCTCTGCCATCGCCGCGCAAGCTCTCCAGATTCGTGGTGAGGGCCACATCGGACAAGCCAGCCACGGTAATGTGATCCTTCCCCTGTTTCATCGATGCTATGCTACATTGTGGAAATTTCGAGAGATTGATGGAGATTTGCTCGTTCTTGTGTGCCAGAAAGCAAATAGGCAGCTGTGGTTCGCGTCGTCGCAAAGCTTGTCCTACCTAGATGGAACGTAAGCTCTCTAGAATCCATTCTTTTCATGAAGAGTTTGATCGATTCCTGGACAGGCTTCCCGGAGACTATGGCTTCGATCCCTTGGGCCTCTCCGACCCGGCGGGAGCTGGAAACTTCATGACTCCCAACTGGTTGTCCTACGCGGAGATCATCAATGGCCGCTACGCGATGCTGGGAGCGGCGGGAGCCATCGCTCCGGAGATCTTTGGCAAGATTGGGATCATCCCACAGGAGACTGCAGTGGTGTGGTTCAAGACCGGCGTCTTCCCTCCCGCTGGAACTTACAACTACTGGGCCGACCCCTACACCTTGTTCTTCCTGGAGATGGCGCTCATGGGCTTCGCCGAGCACCGGCGAGCGCAGGACTTCTACAAGCCCGGCTCCATGGGGAAGCAGTACTTCCTGGGATTCGAGAAGTACCTGGGAGGCTCGGGGGATCCAGCGTACCCGGGAGGGATCTTCAATCCTTTTGGATTCGGCAAGGACGAGAAGTCGATGCGGACGCTCAAGATCAAGGAGGTGAAGAATGGGAGGCTGGCGATGCTGGCGATTCTGGGCTACTTCATCCAGGCACCCTTCACAGGCGTCGGTCCGTTCCAAAACTTGCTCGATCATCTCGCGGATCCATTCGCGAACAACATCCTCACGAACTTGAAAGTTTACAGCACTTTCTAAGCGCTCATAACGCTTGTTCTTCTTCTCTGTCATCGTTCTTTAGAAACCGGATATCATGCCAAGAACATTTACATGTTCCTCAATGTAACTATATCTTTGTGAATGATAAAAAATTGGTTTTGATGGTAATGCCATATCTTTGTGAATGGTAAAAGTTTGGTTTTGATGGTGAACAAATCTACCAGCAGGAAAATCTCAGAGCTTGCTGCGCGGCATTTGTGCTCGAAGGACTCTTCGCATGATTTTGTTTGACGCTGTGCGAGGAAATTCCGGAAGAAGAACCACCGCATGGACCTTTCAAGCAAAACAAAACAAAAAAAAAAAAACAAAAATCAAATTTTGCGCAAGGAACTTTTTTTTTTTTCTCGTGCTCACTCACCTTGAACAAAGGATTTAAGTTGTCATGGAGAGCCTTCGAGAAGATCCTCTTGAGCATTTCTGGGTGATTTTCACCTGGTGGAAGAGCACCTTTGAGAACCGCAGCGACGATCAAGTTGTCGGGGCCGCCGCCTTTTCCTTGAGGCATGGCTATGGCTGCGGTCTCAAGAACGCTGTTGTGCGCGGTATTGCAAACTCGCTCGATCTCCACAGAACTCACCTGCGTCATAAGAACAGTCGATCATCAACCAGAGAACCTGGAGAAAAACGAAACAAAACAGACTCTTTTTTCTTACTTTGATGCCTCCAAGGTTCATAGTATCGTCTGCTCGACCTTTAGCTCTATAGAAGCCTCCGGCCGTTCGCTCAAACACGTCGCCATGTCTCCGAAGTTGCTAGACACGCGAAGAACTTCAGGAACTTCACGATGATAAATCTTCTGAAAAGTACTTACAATCCCATTGATCACAGGCATGCCTTCGAAGTAGACTTTGTGATGATCAGCGTTTAACAGCGTGTATGAAGCTCCAAGAAGCTTGGGGAAGAGAGCAATCTCTCCAGAGCAAGGCTGGTCATCTGGCTGGAAAGCTTTCCAAACGTTTATGCTGATCGATTTACAAACGGAATGAAAGCTTACGTATGGTCTTCCGGAATCATCAAGAAGAACAAAGGCCGTTGTCAAGCTCGGAGTGCTGAAAGCTGCGAAGGCCTGCGGTTGGAGCAGTGATCCGTGAAGGAAAGCCGAGCCAAGCTCGGTTCCACCACAACTCTCTAGAATTGGTTTATACCAAGCTCTTGCGCTGAGCCACAGATCGTCATCGATACTAGAAGCCTCACCAGTTGTTCCAAACGATCTGCCGCAAAAATATATTAAAGAGTTGCACAAACTCTCTCCGTCATCCTATAGATTACCTGATACTCGACCAGTCGAGTGAATCCATGCAGTTGACCTTCTTCCAAGTTTTTACCATGCTCGGCACGGTTCCTAGAATCGTAACTCTCGCATCCTGCGCAGAAACATCTCAAGAAAAGAAGATAAAAATCGATTTTTTCACCTGGACAAACCTTCCGAAAGATCGTCCGAGAGGAGACCCGTTGTAGAGTGCCATTGTTGCTCCAGAGAGTAGACAAGCAGAGATAAGATAAGGTCCCATCATCCATCCCAGATTCGTTGGCCAGCAGTAAATATCACCAGCTTGGAGATCGGAGTGTGCCCATGAATCGGCAGCACATCTCATGGGAGTTGTCTGGTTCCACGGGATTGCTTTTGGCTCGGCTGAATGGAAGCACGAATCTCAGAAAAGAAAACAACACCGACTTTGTAGAGTTTGGAGAGTTTTTTCATTCAGACCGGTAGTGCCTGAAGAGAAGAGTATGTTTGTCCATGCCTCGACGGGTAATTGCACAGCCGGGAACTCGTCTCCAGATCTGCAGATGAATCTGAGTGACAATGCTCCAAAGTTTTCGATCATTTCTGTGTACCTGTTTCTGCCGTTTCCATTTGCAAGGAACTCCTCCCAAGAAACGTCTTGGTTTCTGATTGGAACACGCACTGATTTTCCATCCGATGGAAGGACGACTGCCTTTGGTGGTTTAGCTCCCAAAACTCGACTTTATGCAAAACCGGATCACGCAAAACACGAAAAATATGACTTTACTCTTTACCTGTACAGCGGGATTGTTTTACCACTTCTCACTATCACATCCTGTAGAAGCTCTTGTAACAGCTGAAAACGTGAAAGTTTTGGAAATCACCTGAGTGAAGATCCCCTTTGCTTTGGAGATCGCTAGGCGAGCAGCGATCTCCGAGGAAACAAAGCTGTCAGCTATTGACACTACCACGCAGCCCGCGAGAATTATGGCCAAGTAGATGATAACAGCGTGGATATGCATTGGCATGTCGATGGCGATTCGATCTCCTCTTTGGAAACCGGCAGCTTGAAGCGAGAATGCCACCCGGCTGCAAGAGAAAAAAGAAAACGAAAGAAAGGAAGAACGTAAGTTCCTAGTAAACTATGGATGAATGGAACTTAAATTCACCTGACATGGTGCCGAAGCTCCGAGAGTTTCATTGTGCTGGGAGGCAAATCATCTCCACCTTCGTCTCTCCATATAATGGCGATGCTATCGTCCGTCTTTCCGATGTTCGGCTTTGGTAGCAAGCAACAGTGAGCAACGTTCAAGACAGCACCGGGTAGCCATTTTCCTGCTGGACGTGACGAATCACTCGAGTCCACCATTTGTTTGGGTTCCACAGAAAAATGCAAGCTCAGGTTCTCAAACGCAATGGACCAGAAAATCTGAGAAGTTGGAATGAAAAGTTTAGAGCTATGGAGGAACGAGAAAGAAATGGTTTTTTCACCTCCGGATGCTGAACCGAGAACTTGTAGAAGTTTGTAAAGCTCGCGATTGGATCAACGTATACCTTATTGCCGAGAAGTTCGTTTCCACGAGCCTTGAGGAGCTGTCCAATGCTCGTACTCCTTGCGAACTCCCTGTAAGTTTGAGCGATCAAAGAAGAAAAAAAAGAAGAAAAAAAATGCAAGAAAACTTATACAGCGATGGAAACCAATACGGTGGTGGACCGCATTGCAACTCGTCCCAATTCTTGTAGATCGAGTAGTACATGAGCTGATGGAGTGTGTGAGGATGTCGAGGCGTGAGCAAACTTTGAGATACAAGCCTCCATATCGACTCGAGTTTTCCAAATCCTGCCCTTTGCAACGCTACCTGGAGCTCCTGGTAGAAGTGTAGAGCCTCGGATGGTTCTAGCCCCGCGCTCTCGAGATCGCCCACATCCAGTTCTTCGACACTGTTGGCACCAAAGCCTTCCATCTCCAACCAAAGAAAACCCTTTGGAGCTCATCATCTTTGGCGTGAGAGCTTATTAATTTTTTTTCTATGCCTAAGCTTACCCGCCAGTTCAACGATAAAATCACCCAAGATCATACTTTGGTGTTCCTGGTCTATACTATAGATAACGTTTCAATGGCGATTCTCGAGGTTCTAGCTCCAGATATTACATGGCAGAGGCCATGGAAATCCTTGTGGGCGACCAGCAACCATAGCGTCCCACTCGCATTCTTGAGAAGAACCACGAGAAAAGGTAGAGTAGCGAATCCAAGGCACATAGCTATAGTCACGAGAGCCACGTCGTCTAGGGAGAAAGAAGAAGCTCTAGAGCAAACCAAGCGCTCGACATGGTTCGATTGGAACAGCGAGTGGTACCCGGTAGCGATCGAGCAAGAACTAGACAAGGGAGTTCCTCACGCTGTCACGATTCTTGGAAATGAATTGGTTGTGTGGTGGGATAGCAATGGGAAGAACTGGCAAGTTTTCAGTGACAAGTGCCCGCACAGGCTAGCTCCATTGTCCGAGGGCAGAATCGGGGAGAATGGTCACATCCAATGCAGTTACCACGGATGGATATTTGCTCCAGGAACTGGATCGTGCTCTCGGATCCCTCAAGCCCAGCCTGGAGACTTGAGTGTAAGATTGTTTCTTTCCAAAGTTCTTGGACGTTTCTTTGTCTCCAAAGTTTAGTTCTTGGACGTGTTTCTCTCCAAAGTTCTTGGATGATCAAAAACTTCTTTTTTATCTTTCCAGGCTGCTAGATCGCCTCGCGCTTGTGCGACGGTCTATCCTAGCATGGAGCAGCAGGGGATTTTGTGGATGAACTTCAGCGCTAGCGCGTCTTCGCAGATCAAGCCACCTTTCTTTCCAGTTCTCGAGGACGCTGATTTTGTTCACTACTGGGCTACGAGTGATGTTCCTTACGGGTAAAAGCAAAGGTCTCGAGATTCTCACCAAAGTTCTTATGCTCTTCCAAGGTACGAGGCATTGATAGAGAACCTCATGGATCCTACACACGTTCCATTCGCGCACCACAAGCTCCAAGTATGTTTCATCTTGTTCTTTTCACTGATGTTTTCTTCGATCAGGGGAATAGAAACAAAGCTGGGCCAGTGAGCTACACCGTGAACAAATTCGATCGGCATGGTTTCAAAGGTAGCACAGGACGAGGGGACGTAGTTTTCATGCCGCCTCTCTCGTTTGTGATGGAGATAAGAATACCACCCAAGCAAAAGGTTCTTAGCAAGCTTTGGAGCAAGCTGGTTTCTAAGAATCTCTGGATTGCTCAATGCAGGAAGAGTCGGACAAGATCACATACACCGTGTTCATGTGTGTGCCCGTTCTTCCGGGCAGAAGCAAAGCCTTCTGGTCCTTCCCCAGGAACTTCGCAAAATCCATCCACTTTTACACCCCGAGATGGCTCGCTCACCTTCGACACATGCTGGTGCTCGACTCGGATCTCTATCTTCTCCATATCATGGTAAGTCTTCGCTGCTTCGTTCATGCAATCGATCGATGATCCAACTCTTGGAATCCTTTCATCCTCCAGGAGCAAAAGCAAGAGCGAAACGAAAGAGAGTACATACCAACATCGGCCGATGCATTCGTTCTGGGATTTCGAAGGTGGCTCAGCGTTTACGCGGGTGGAGCTCCAGGCTATGCTCCACACATTGATCGAAAGCTTCCATCATCTCCTCCAAAGCAGCAGCTCATGGACAGGTACTCCTCGTTCTTTCCTGGATTTTCTGAAAGCTTGCGATCACCACCAGGTATGAAAACCACGTCAAGAGATGCCCGACTTGCATGGCGGCCTTGAGATCCTTCAAGCTGGCCGAGCTGGGCTTGCAAATCGCGGCGATAGCCACAGTTGCAGTAGCGTCGATTCGCCGTTCTTGGTGGGGGATCTTGGGAGTGTTCTTGTGGATAGCTTCGAGATACACAGCCCGCTTTATCCGCAAGAACTATCACTTCCACGACTACAACCATGCGCTGGTTAAATGAAGAGGAAGATCGATTTGTTCTCTTGCCAAAGCTTGGAAGTTTCTATCCTCGATAAATCTAAGATCTGCCCACGATTCAGAAGCAATGGAAAATCGCGACCACTGCTTGCATTTGATCCAGTCCTGCGGCAATCTCTCCGCGGCGCTAGATCTCCACCAGCGATTGATCCAATCCAGCTTGTATCGCGACGACGATGTCTACCTCCTCAACAAGCTCATCGAGATGTACGCTGCCTGTGGCAGCGTGGAGCACGCCCGGAGAGTCTTCGATGAGATTCCCACGAAGAATGCCTTCTCCTGGGATCTCCTCCTCCTCGCCTATGCCCGGAATGGGCATATCAAGCAAGCGCAGCGCATTTTCGACACAATGCCACACAGGAATCGAATCTCTTGCACTGTTCTTCTCGACGCCTATGCCCGGGAGGGCAATCTTTCCAAAGCTAGGAAGATTTTTGATTCGATTCCAGAGAAGGATTTGGTTTCCTGCAATGCCATGATCTCGGGATATGCCCAGAATGGGTATCTAGAGGAATCTAGGCTGTTGTTTGGTTCCATGCCGCAAAGAGACATTGTTTCATGGACTTGCATGATTTACGCTTATTCCCAGTGCGGAAATTTTCATGAAGCTAAGAACTCGTTTAACTATATGCCAGAATACAACTTGGTATCCTTGAATGCAATGTTTTCTGCATATGCCAATGGCGGGCATCTTGGTGATGTGAAGCGATTCTTTGCACGTATGCCGGCGACGAATCTATTGTCTTGGAACTCGCTGCTGCATGCATACGTGAATAGTGGCAGCGAAGTTCAAGCTTGCAAAGTCTTTGAATCGATGCCGGAACAGGACATTGTTTCATGGACTACCTTGTTGAGCGTATACTCCCGCACCGGGAATAAGCTGGAGGCTGAAACTCTCTACAACAAAATGCCTCATTGGGATCTAGCTTCGTCCACAGCAATGCTGAATCTGTTCTCATCCAAAGCTGATTTTGAAGGCTTGCAAAGACTTCTATCCCAGATGCCCGTGCTTGATCTTGCGACGTGGAGTTCCATGCTTGTGGCTTATGCCCGAAAGGGTCATCTCGAGGAAGCTAAGTTCGTGTTTGATTCTATGCCTTTCAAGGATCTAGTTTGCTGGAATGCCTTACTCAGTGCATATGCACAGCAAGGAGATTTAACCCAGTGCAAGGATTTGTTCGATCAAATGGAGCGCAAAGATGAATTCTCATGGACTACCCTGCTTGCTGCGTATGCCCAGAATGGAAACTTGCAACTATCAAAGAGATTGTTTGATGAAATGCCTGTGAGTGACACAGTGTCATGGACATCTATGGTGGCTGCCTTTACGCAAAACGCAACACCTCGAGATGCATTGAGTACATATTACAATGCAAACATGGTTGATAGATGTAGCTCTTCTGTGTTTGCATCGGTACTAATCGCTTATAGCGCTTTAGGAAAGCTGGAGAGTGTATATAGTTGCTTTAGATCTTTAACTCTAGACTATGGTGTGACACCCAGTTTTGAGCATTTTAGTTGCATGATCGATGTGCTAGCTCGTTCATCCGAGCTTGAGCAAGCCAAAGACCTCATACACAACATGCCTTACACTCCACATATTCTAGATTGGAGGTGTTTTCTTGCTGCTTGTAGATACCAAAGTGATATTAGATCTGCTGAAACAGCTGTTCATCATCTCATCAAATCTAAAATGAATGATGGGTCAAGCTACATCATGTTTGCAAACATGCTTGCAAATTAAGATAGGACTTGGTTAATATAAGCCAAAATAATAATTTGCTGCGTGTTGCATGCAACAACGTTTTATTTATTTAAAAGTAGTGCTATTTCTATTTATTAATCCAATTAATCAAGTGGAAGTTTATAATTATAAATATGTTTATAATTTATAAACACAAGATTGTCAACCAGAATAAACTAAAATATATTAAAAAGTGTGTAGGAAAGTTTAAAAATTATAAACATCTTTTTAAATTATAAATAAAAATTAATCTAAATAAATAGCAACCTTTAGATGTTAGAATATCCTAGAATATCCAAGTATATTTTAAATATATTCATTACTGCCCAGGTTTGCTCAAAAAAACCAAAAATTGACTTCAAATTTTTGCTGTAAGGGATTACTTTTTAGAGGTACTTAAAATAATTTGAATTTTATTTATTAATACAATTGAAGTTTATAATAATAAAAATGCTTAAAATTTATTAAAATATTAAATAAAATAAACTTAAATATACTAGGAAGTGTTTTGGAAAGTTTATAAATTATAAACATTTGCATAAATTATGAATACAAGATTTAAATGAATAACAACCAATAGATGGTAGAATATCCTAGAATATCCAAGAATATTTTAAGTATATCCACTATCATCCTAGTCTTAAAAAAAATCAACTTTTTATACCTATAAGAAGTGTTGTTGATAATTTTGAGTTATTAGAATTTGTTATGAAATTAATAAAGCTACCATGGAAGAGAAAAAATATAGAAACTGATTTTATAAAAGTAATTGTCAAATTATAATTAGATTTATACAACTTTCTAGTATAACAACTATGAATGACAAAAGTTAAAACAATCAAATTTATTGTGTATTCAGTCTTCTTAACATTACATTCTTTGATGTAGTATTTCTAAAGACACAAAATTTCTAGTGGCACAGTAATATTAGTGGCTTACAAATACTATTTTTTATTATCACTAATATTAATTATAAAGTTATGCTCAATACACTGCTATTAGTAACTAACCACTCTATAGCAAAATGATGAACTTATATCGTAAGTTTGAAGGACAAATGTACATCAAACTGTAGAATGCTAGCTTCCTCACTATATTTTTAAATAGTTTATATAATTAGTTAAAATTTTTGACTTGAAGAAAATGTCTTTCTGTTTAAATAAGGATTCCAGTATTGAACTCCATTTGAAATAGATAAAGTGAATTTATATGTTATTGTTCCTAAGACTTATTCTCATGTTAATTAGTGTTATTCTTACTTATTAATCCAATTGATCAAATAAATTTTATAATTATAAGCATGTTTGTAATTTATAAACACAAGATTAATCTTATAACATATCAACTATTAGATGATAGAACTAAAAAGAATATACTAGAAAGGGTTTAAGAAAGTTTATAAATTATAAACATGTTTATAAATTATAAATACAACATTAATCTAAATAAATAACCGTTATATAATAAACTATCCTATAATATTCAAATATATTTTAGGTATATTCACTACCCAAAAAAAAAAAACAATATCTTGAAAGTTTCCAAATGCCAACTCATGTATTTAGCATGGTTTAGGATGACCCTAAAGAATAATCTGTTTCATCCAGAATGCTAACTTGTCTATAACTTTGTCAACGATTCATGAGCGTGGAATCGCCCAAGAGTCTGTCCATAGCATCGTCTCTCAAAGACACATACGCGGCAACGCTGCCCTCGTCTCTACCTGGGAAGTAGTAAATCCTCCCATCGTTTGGGACCGCCACAGCTGCCATCCCCACCGGCTTGCCGAATCCAAAGTCCTCGTACACCGGGAAGTAGAACGAGCTCCCCACAATCACGTCATTCTTGGTTAAAGTCAAGCCAATTCGGTGCTGCTCGTCCGACGCAAGCATCTCCACGAGCTCGCAGAAACGCGTAGCCTGCTCTTCAGTGAATTCCTGGATCGTTTTTCTAACCAGTGCCAGTCCATCACGGCCTACTTGAGACGCTGGCAGTGGAGTAGTGCCGATAATGAGAGCGCCCTGGCCTCCGTAACCCGGATCCAGCCACCGGAACCTCTTGCGGCAATTCACCGCAAAGAACATGGCTGTGGAGCCATGAAGCTGGCGAGCGACAGTGATCTTCTCCCACAAGTGAGCCGTCAGGAGCTGGAAGGTTGTAAATCCGGGATCTTTTTCCTTGAGCCTTGCGAGAACTTCCGCCTTGAACACGAAGCACCTGGTGCTATACTTTGTTGGATCTTCTAGTGTTGCAGACAGCACTGCTTGCTTTGGAGCCCGCCTCAAGTAGTGTGGAATCTCGAGCTTGTCAAGTGTCGGACGAGGAAGAAGAACTTTGATCGGCTGGTCGCTCCAGACTGGTAACACTGAGATCTCTTGTCCACGGCAAACTTCCGCCCAGGATTTCCAGAAGTGCCATGCACTCGTCCCATCCATCACCTGGTGATTAAACTTGATCGAGATGCACAGACCACCGCAGGAGAATCGAGTAGCCTGCAAAGGAAAAGGAAAAGTGTTTTTCCGTAGTGATGGAAAAATGGAAATTTGGTACCTGGATGAAGAGGAGAGGGGCGTCTGAAGGCCAGGGCCAGTTGAGAACATGCCCGGCAGTCTGTGCCAAGCTCGATAGATCCTCGTCAGGAAGCTGGAAATCACCATCGCTGTAGCTCAGATCCCCGAGCGCAACGTCGGAGCTGGCTCTGATAAACATGATGCCGTCGCCGTTACAGTCCACCTCCATGAGATCATCTTCTCGGACAACAAGACGTCCTCCGAGAAGATAGAAGGACCCCAGTGCTTTGCGAAGGCCGGCCTTGAGCCTCACTACTAGCGCATCAAAACAAGCACCTTCCTTGACTGAAGGACGCTCGAAAAAGAGAAACCGAGTGCGATAGTGTACCTCCCAGGCGAAGTGAGCTAACGGCGAGAGAAGAGCCTTGCCGGGCTTGTTGATCTCCGGAGGAACCAAGCAGATCTCTTCCACCTCCACCTTCATTCCCAAAAGCGTCGAGAACGAAAACTTCTAGTCAAAACCCTGGAGTGAGAAAGAGATGGAAAAAAAAGTAGCTCGTCAACAACAAACCTTCTTAGTACTCTTCTGCCGGCAGAAGGGCACAAGGATCAAATGTTTCATTAAATGGAAAAAACTATTACCCGTTCTGGTGAGTCTTAGAGCCATCCCCATTCATTGCCGCAATGATCGAGAGAGAAATGCTTTTGAGGCTCTGGCGAGTGTTGTACCTCTTTCGCTTCTTGGACGGTTGTTTTTCGGCAGAGGATTGATCCACCACAACCTCCTCCAACTTGGATAGCTCGGCCTCCGGTAGAACACAGTCCTCCTCCACCTTGGATACCTCGGCCTCCGGAAGAACACAGTCCTCCTCGGTTACCAGAGGATCCCAGACGTTTGGTACGTCAAACAGTGGCTTTTCCACCGTCTCAATAGTGATGGCTGCCTTGTACGTGTTTTTCCTTGTGTATCCGTGCAAAAGTACCGAGCTGTGTTGTTGAAATGAAGTTTGTGAAGCAAAGAAAAGTTGAAAACAAGAGGGAGACACTCCTTACTTGCAGTTTTTGGAGATGGCAGCTCTTGCCTGCTCCATCGTAAGCCCGAACAGCGTTGCCAGGTTTGCCGCGTCGTTGGGTCCCCGGATCTCGCAAGCGTTTCGGGCACCACTGCTTAAGATGATGTTACGACCGCGTGTCATAGTCACGAGCGTCTGGATATCGAGATGGTGCCAGAATGAGAAGAAAAAAAAACACACACACTCCTTACTTGAGTGTTTATGAACAGCTCTTTTCTTGCGTTTGGATCATCCAGAGCTGGGGCATACACGATCTCAAAGAAAACTCCTCGCTGTTAGAAAAGGCAAGGTGAGTTCTTCAAAGGACTAAAGCTAGGAAATGGAAAAACTATCTCACCTCTATAGCCGCATCTGTCAAGGCAGAAGATTTGATCCTGAAAGACAACTTCTGGGACAAATTCAAGCTTATCACATCAACCTGGAAAAAAAAAAATCAGGATCCAACGATCTATCAGATAAAAAAAAAATAGAAGAAAGGTCGAAAGTTCTCATTCTTACCTCCATGGTCGTGCAAGCTTGAGCAAACGATTGCTGGCTCATCGGCTGGACAGCAACCACATCATACGACTGAAGCACGGGATTGGAAGGATTGAGAGCCGCCGCTTGCACTTGATCCACCACCACGACGCTGATTCTCGAGTACTGCCGGAATGGGATCTTGTTGGAGACTCCCAGGAGGCGGCGATGGAACTTCGTAGACTCACAAACCCCAGGCAATGCGGCGAGGAGCACATCGGGCTTGATTGGCCGCAGCTTGCAGCGATCCGACTCGTGCATCACGGCCTTGACAATGTGAGGAATGGCGACGCCGGTGTATCCCAGCTGCAATGCCATGGCCAGCGCCTCCCGCCTCGGCTGCTCATTGCCGCCATCGCCACAAACGTTAAGATCGAAGAACATAGAAACCCTGAAATAAATAGGTCTTTTTTGAGAGAACAAAAAAAGTTTTGTCACTTTTGGAAAGACATGGATCGTTGTGAAGCTTGTAATGCAATGCCTGAGTTCTGGTCAGTTGTTCGGTTGGTAATCATCTCTCCATCTTCATCAAATCATCGCCGTTTGCTAAAAAGAAAGAACTTTAGCTGAAAGTTTGTGTTTTATAATTACTTGTATCACTGTTGCAAAGACATCATCTTCTAGCAACTGCTGAGCCCAATCCTGGTAGTGATTCCAATCCTTCTTTGCCTCTAGCAGGTACACAAACTGCTGCCACAGTCCTCTCACGGCTTCCAGTTTTGATTCAACCTCAGTATCGCTCATGTTCCACGCAAAAACGATTCCATACTCTTGGGATCTTGTTCCTTTACATGAACCATGGAACACTGCGTCTTCCATGCGACTGCTCCATCCATCGCCAAGAGAAACTCCACAAAACCAAGAACTTGGCAGCTCTTTGGCATAAGTGTCACTGTGGTGTCACCACCATGTCTAGAGCTGCTTGTCTTCCCAGTCTTCCATGATTGTTTGGAGTTGATCCAAACTCCTCAGCCACTCTCCGGTGAATTCCCATGCTATATCTGCATTCATCAATAAGAGTGTTGGGCAGACCCCCTTTCCAAGGTTTCAATTAAAGTGTTTTGTGCTCTTCTTGAGGCCTGTCAGTGTTAAGAAAACAAACTTTGCAGCTATCAAGCTTCTTGTTACTTGGACCAGAATCTCTTTGAGATAAAGTTATTATAAATTATTATTATATTACCATGGGTAAAAATAAAACTCTCTTGAGTGCTATAAGTGGCAAACAAGCTAGTCTGTAGTTATTTAGCAGCACTAGTGGATCCTTCTTATGATTGGTTCAAGTAGTCAAATTTCTTATAAAGTTTTCTCATATTGGAATGCAAATGCAAGCTCAAGGTTTAATCAGAGTTATACCCAAAAAGGGAGTCATTAGGGACAAAGGATCAAACATGTAAATTATTTTCTCGTTCAAAAGGATTATGACTTTAGTTGGGCAAGAAGTCTTCATGTCTTTCAAAGAACTCTAACTATATTATATATAAATATTTTGGAAGGTATGGTTTAGTTGGCAATATAGTATATTTAGTATTAATATAGTTCATGATGTATTTATATGTTAAAATTATCATATTTAATCTTTAAATTTATATATTCTAAAGTCATTGTTGGGGCATCTCTTAACCCCAACCACAGCTCTACTCCCTTATATATATACCCATATGCTCACGACTCCAAGCTTAATTACAAAAGAAAAAATAGAGATGAACTCTAGATCTATACCTCTTGTAACAAGGATGAAGGGAGCTCAGAATATTTTCTATGCTCTCTAAAGCTGGAATGCGAGAACAAAGTAGCAATAATATAGCAGCATAATAAGCAACCCCTAATGGGATGCACAAGACTCTAGCACGCAAGAAGCTATGGCCTAAAAACTTCTATGTGTTGGAATATAGTAAATAATTGCTAAAACAAAAAAAAGATGGCAAAGAGAACAAGAGAATTGAAAGCTAAAAATAGTCAAAGTGACTAGGGATGAAATTAAAAGATGGGATAAGAGTTTATCGTTTAAAGACACAAGAAAAACCAGTGGAAAATTGTGTAGATAACTAGAGACTCAAAATGTGGGAAAAGAGAGAATGAGGAGAAAATGGCAAGAATACAAAATGGAAATAAGTTTGAACTAGCTCCCATACTCTAGAAAGTGAATAGTGAATATATATAAATTCAACCATATTAAACTTTGGTTGAGAATGGAAAAAAAAAGCATAGTTTCTTTCTCCAGATTTTAGGAATAGTGCTTGTTGTCTCCATATGAAACTCAAGTAGCTTTCATTGATATTATATACAAAATTTAACAAATAAGTGAACTTGTGTAGCACATCCTATTTCTCTCCTCTTAAGCCAATTAGAAAAGGGGCAATTGCTTGACCAACTATTCCATATGAGGCAATTAGTCATCCACCTATACCGCAGTCCCATGATAGATACCTTTGTCCATGGATGCTCCACCAAAAGGAAGGACGTATGCATGAATGCTCAATATATAATTTCAAATTTAGGGGTAGGAATATACCTTGTTCAAGGGTATATTATATTTTTAAGTAGCCACTAATTAATGGGAATCAAACCCATGCCATTTGCTCTGATACCATATGTAATACACCCTATCTCTCTTCCACTAAACCAACTAAAAAAGAGGCAATTGCTTGATTATAGAGCCCTTAGTGGCTATTTTATCCCCATTTATCTCCCAAAATTATAAGGATCCGTGGTGATAGTATATTTAAAATTTATCCTTACGAGTTTATCTTTCAGAGTTTATTCCCAGATCAAGTCGTTAGTGAGTAGGAGCGCCCCTTTATCTTCAAAATCTTTATTATAGGCCCTACCTCTAGTATAGATCTTATCTCTCAAATGGATATGTCTAGGTTGAATGACTTTACTAATGTATGGATACATTTTAACCATATGGAGAGGGTATCAAGTTGGACAACCATGGGAACTCATGTGTATAATCTAAAGCAATTATGTTTTCTTATTGTCTTAAAATGCTTTTAAGTATTGCCCTTTTCATAAGTTACGTTCCAACTTGACAATTGCAATAACAAAGTTTAAAGTAAAAAACTAGATAGCCTAGGAAATATTTTGGAAGTCAACATTGTATTGAAATGGATTAGTAAGTCTACCAACTTTTACAGTTTCATGGAAAATGGGGCTAAGGCTAATTGGAATGGCATCCAGCCAATTTTTGGGAATAGTCAACCTGGAATGTTGTGAGAGAACTTATGAGTTCCATTAGGTTTAGAGCCTAAACCAACACAACCACCTTATCAAGCTAGTTTTCCAATTAGCATTTAAAGAATTGTGCAAACATTGCTAAATTGCACATTCTGAAAAAGTGCATGAGGCAAAATCAAATAAGATCCAAATGTGGTGGTGTGAAGATGGCCATATAAACATAAATTATCTACCAAAACTTGAATCATGGTTGGGGTGGTGGAAAGTTAAAATGTTCTAATGGGGGCATCACTCTTTTTAGGTTGGTTTTTTGTTTTTCTTCTCTTTTTATTATTTTTTAATATCATCTTTTTCAAGGACCAACCACTTAAGGATCTTGCATACACCCCAATTGTGAATCTCTCAAAAAATAAGTATTGGAGCTAGTGTTCTTTTGAGGCATGGAAAGGGAAGAAAAGTCTATACGAAGCACATCTATTGGATTTGATACATGTTATAAAGTAGTATTCAAAAGCCTTAGCATTTAATAAACGAAGATATATAGGAACAAAATCTTCAGTTAAAATGTTACACGATCAAATGAAGAAGAAAGTGACTCTACCAGCATGAACAGTGGTAACTACAATGGAGGAAGTGATTTACAACACATCTATAGAGTACACTCCTTAGGCTTCTATTGGTGATATGAAGGCTGTCCGTTCAAAATATTGCTTTTCTTTTGTTGATGAAAAAATTGGTACAAACATTGGAGCAAAAAAATCTTACATACCTAATATTCTACTCGAAAACACCACTTCCAGACCAAGCCACCTCAAATAGTTAATGAAGAGAGCATATCACAATAAGTTGAAATTGCTTACTATAGTGTGGAATTGAAGCAATGGGCAATCTATCAAATGCTAACAAAATCCAATATAAAGTGTGTGAGAGTACTTCTGAGAGGTAAGTGTTAGGTTTGGATCCATGATGACAAGTTTACTTCCGTTCCAGCCCTATGTTTCTATGAGGAATAAAAGCAAGCAAGATTTTCGAGATGGTGTTGGTTATATTGTTGCAACACCAATGCCAACTATACAAAGCAGTTTGAAGACACTATAGTGACTAAACCTAATGTAGTACCTAAAGAATGGTTGTTAATGGGGTGGCATTCATCTCAGATGAGATTGAAAACCGTGAGAAATCTTGTTTCAATCTTGAGAGGAGAATTGAAGACATAAGCAACAAAACCAAGACTGTTCTCATAGAGATGTATAGGAGGCCAACAAGAAAAGGTAAGGCAATTAAATTTATTAATACCATCTCTAAGCAAAAGTAGGGTAAAATAAGCTTAGCTCAAATGCTTGAGTGTGAGATTCTCTACACAAAGTATATCACTATACTTGCAAAGGAATACATAATCAAAATAGAAGGTGGAGAATACACAATTGCTATTCAAGACTTTCTTTCTTGCAAATGTCCAAACTTTATAAAACGTGAGGAACATGGGAAAGTATATACTCCTTACAAGCATATATACTATATTTTTATCAACATCTTACACCAGGATCCTAAAGTGGATATTTATATACACCAAGTAAGCTTTACCATTGTTGAGTTGCAAAAGACTTTCGGAGTTAACTAGATTTCCCAAGACTATTGATGTTTATTCTCTATCAATAATATAAACTTCTTATACTTTATATAATTAATAAAAATACATTTTTTCATTTCATATACTTGCAAATGTTCTTTTTGCAATATTGCCCATAGTACTCATGTGTCTCCATTTTTGTCTTTACCATCTCAAAAAATATTTCATGGTAGTCTTTTAAGTGTGTGATATTGTAGTGTATCGCACGAGTATATATATCATAATACTGACCATTCCCATTGTTTCCACCAGAAGCCAGAAAACATATAAAACATTTCTTGAAAGTCATGGAATTGCAATTTTCTAAAACAAATAGGACAGAATTCTTTTTCACCCAATTTGTTGCACTCTTTGTCATTGCATTTATCTCCAACTTGTAATCATTATCTTCATTATCCTTTCTTTCTTTCTCTTGTATTGAAATAAAACAAGAGTTCAAATTACCAACATTAGAATTCATATATGTTTGTGTATATTTCCCTCTTTTCGAATAAAAGTGCGATGTAAGCTCTTGAATTTGGACTTCCTAAAAAGTTACCCAACCCAGTATTATTTAAACTCAAGAACACTTAATCCCATATATCTTAAGACCATTAACCAATTGGAAAAAGGGATGTACTTTTATTTATAAGTTCTTTCCCCCTATATTTGAACCTTATGAATCATCTCTCAAGTTGTTCTCTTTGATTACTTATAATCTACCATATTTTCCTACAAGTTCACGCTCTTGTGAATAGAAGTTGAGAGCCATAGCTCTCCTGAGAGCCTCACTCTCTTGATACCCTACTGTAAGCCACAAATTTTTCCTTTCCAATTTGCCAGCTTACCTCGTCTATTCGACCAACTCTGCCTTAGCTTGTGCTAAGTTCCCTCGCCAAGGTTCCCGCCTATGGTACCAGCTCCTACTTGGTCCTACTTGGTTTCAGCTACTCACTGCACAAGCAACGGAGTGTTAGCCATCCATCTACGGATATCCCAAATCTCTCCCAATCCCCCTCCCCTGGTTAGACTGGACTTAAGGTTCGGCTACACTCCCCGCAGGCACAAGCAGCCAAGCACACCAAGCCTCCAGATTCCTAACACCCCTTGGTACCCCAAGACTTGATCATGGGACCCTCTAAATCCCAAGTCTTGGGTGCAGCACTTGCTTCGGGACGTCGGGGCAAAACACCGTGGCCTAACGGCCCGGTATGGGTACCTCTACCCCCCCACTTCCATCCCGAAGGGAAGGCCCAAGCCCCTAGGAAGGGCGAGGACCAATGAGCCCCAAGGTACTCAAGTGGGGCACCACTCCACATGAGTCGGGAGCACCGTAGTCAGTTTCCCTTTCGGGAGTGGGAGCTGCTCTTGAGCACTTCCCTGGGTGGCCCCTCCGGCACCACTCAAGCCCATGCTCACTCCCACCCAAGGCCTTTGGGCCCCAGTTTCAACCTCAAGTCAGTTTGGAAGCACCACTGGAGAGTTCCTTCAAGACTGGTTCCTGGACCTCACTATCCCTACTATACTTTTGGAACCCCCTGCAGCCCCCCCCCCCCCCTGGGAGACGCACGCTTTGGGCTTTCACCCCTTGACCTGTATTAGTATTTAGACTTAGTCTTTGGCTCGATCTCGGACCCGATTTTGGATCCGACTTCGGATTCGGTCTCGGACTCGATTTCGAACTCGATCTCGGACCCGATCTCGGACCCGACCTTGGACTCGACCTCGGACTCTGTCTCAGACCCGATTTCAGATCTCGGACTCCGTCTCGAACTCGGTCTCGAACTCGAACTCGAACTCGGTCCCCGAGTCGGTCTCGGACTCAATTCCGGACTCTATCTCGAACTCGGTCCTAGAGTCGGCCTTGGACTCGATCTTCGACTTGGTCCCATCCAATGAACTCTTTGTCATTTTGGTCATGCTTTTGGGGTTCATTTAGCCTACGACACCACGGCGAGTTGGTTCTTTACATCTACCCTCTGGTTTGAGCTCAGCCGGAGCAAATTGAACTTATCATATGTCAATTAACATATGGTGTGATTTCCTTAGCTAATTAATAGAGTCGAACCTGAGACTACTTTAATACCAAATGTAAGTTTTTAAGTTTGAACTTCCCAGGAGGTCACCAAACCCAATATTATTCAAACTCAAAAACACTTAACCCCCCAAGACCCTTAATTAATTGAAAAAGGGGGTGCATTATTATTCATGGATCATCTTTCAAGTCGTTCTCTTTGGTTGTTTACATACAAATGAAAATTCATAAATTCTAAACACTATACTATGATAAACCTCTCAACAATGTATTTTAGAGAAGAACTAAGTCTCTCTTTTATTTGTAATAAGCTTATATCAATGGTTGTTCTTTTACCTTTCAAACGGTTATATGGTTTTATATAGAATTTTATTCAAATTTAATAATTTTTTAAGTCTAACAAACCTAATATTTACTAGCTAGAAAATATAAAATACAGATTTAAAGAAGTAATAAGAATACTTTTTTTTTGCAAAAATCTTATTTTATGTTCTAACATCTCTATTATAACATTTAATTAATATTTAAATTGTTAGACCAAGAATTGTCCTTTAGAATATTTTTATCTATATACTATATAGAGAGTTGTAAAATTATTAGGCTTGCCATAACCTTAATATTTTAAGTTTTATAATGTTGTATTAAATTACAATTGAAAATTGAACTCAACTCGTGGACTCAACTCTTCAACTCGTAAGCTCTAGAATGGTCCACACTCCTCTTAAGCCAATTAAAAAAAGGGCAATTGCTTGATGAGAGAGCCCTTAATCACTATTTTATCTCAATTTATTTTTCAAGTCCAAAAATCCATAGTGATAATATATTCAAATCTCATCACATGATCACATGTACTATACTAACTATCCTTTTCTCTTTGATGTCTTATAAAACTTGTGACTACTATGAAAACAATGCACCACCACCTATGAATCAACCAAATAAACATTGTCTAGCAATGACCTTTGTTTAAAAACCTGCTATTATACAATTAGAGCCAACCTCTATAAGGAAATTATGCTTAATACATTCTTTCTAAGTGTTCTCCAACTATCACAAACCCTAGGAATATATTCCTAAATATTTTAGTGTGCATATTTAGTTTCATGTGTTTAAGTGAATCTAGCTAGACTTAGAGAATACTAAATTGGTGATAACAGGTCCTAAAGTCCATGGATTTGGAAGGGATAACTCCATATATTCTTGATTGTCATCCATATAAACATAGATCCATTAGTTTGAGCTTGGTGATATACTTTCTGCTGAAGTGAGCTTCTATAGAAGAGCCGAATCTGGCCAAAGTATTTCTCTATTTACATTACTAGCAAAAGGTTTGTATTAGTGATAAGGTGCATTGATTATAAACAAATTAAAGAAAAATTTAACAGTGGAAATATCAGTTTAAAATATGCTTAGAAATTTTATAACAGGAAACAAAAAAGGATTAGCCTGCCATACATGTATGGGTTGAGAGAAAGTTCAAAGACCCTTTTCTAATCAATTAAAGATTTTATGGCATTAAACTTTTTTGGGTTTGAGTAGTATTAGGATAAATGTATTTTAAAATCAAAAGCAAGATACACCTCAACTCTTTGCCAGCTCTTTTCAGATCAAAACTTGCTAGAGTGCTCCTCACCAACTAGATTTTATAGTGTAATTAGTAGCTTTGTGTGGACAAGAGGATAGTGATATGTGTGAGTTGGCACCCAGGCCTCCAAACCATGAATGGGTTGCTCTAGGGGTTATGAGGAGGAGCTACATTTTTTGCAAGAGCACCACCTCATGATCTTGTCAAGCTAGCGATCAGTTGTTTAGGGGCTAGAGAATGCCATGCAATGTGGAGTTTAGAGATTTTGTGATACTGTTCTAGAGGTTTAGGTATCAGATGACTGATTCTCCAAAGCATTTTGGTGCCTCAACCAGAATCCAATAAAATCAAAAAGTACTTCACTGATAGTTCTCTTTGGTGGCAGTTCCCGAGCTCCTCCTCATCAAAAACCATAACTTTGAAACATATTGGCCTTTGTGGCGATGGCCTGGGTACAATATGCAACTCTCAGCCCTCTTGTTCACGAGCATGCCAATAAAGAATATCGTCCCCTAATACCTAGCCTGGAGTGGGGCGAATTTGAGAAAGCATTGCACAGAGTTGATGTTGATGCTGGTGAGGAGGCAATGGTGCTGTTGGTGGTGGTGGTGGCGGTAATGCTAGGGATAGTGGTGGTGGCAATAGTGTTTGCTTTGGATGGCTTTTGCCATTCATTGCTAGCAATATATTCTCGCCACAGATGGGGATGCGTGTATCACCAGCACCGATGCAGTGAAATTCTTGGTGTCCCCAGACAGATCTCAAGCAGGTATGGAATGATTTTGGTCATAATTCCTATCTGTTCTTCTTCTCAAGAGGTCATAATTCCTCTTCTCAAGACTGGGTTGATTCTAAGTGGCAAAATTTTCTTGGATTCAAGGAATTTGTTACTGCAATTGAGTGGATCTTAAGTCATTGTAGATAGTTTTTATCTGTGATACATAGCATTAAACCTTGATTGAGTATAATTGAATATTCCAGGTATAGATTGACTAAGAAAGGCTATATGTCAAGGGAGAAGATTTGATCCTCAAAGACAACTTCTTCAAGCTTATCACATCAACCAAGAGACAAAGCCATAAAAGAGAGATCGAAAATTCTCGTTCTTACCTCCATGGTCGTGCAAGCTTGAGCAAACGCTTGCTGGTTCATCGGCTGGACAGCAACCATATCATAAAATTGAATCACGGGATTGGAAGGATTGAGAGCCGCCAGCTCGCACTTGATCCACGACCACGACTCTGATTCTCGAGTACTGCCGGAATGGGATCTTGTTGGAGACTCAGGCAATGCCGCGAGTCGGCACTCCTCGCGCATCACGGCCTTGACAATGTGAGGAATTTCGACGCCGGTGTATCCCAGCTGCCAGCGCTCCCCGCCTCGGCTGCCATCACCGTAAACATTAAGATCGAAGAACATAGAAGCCCTAAAAACGTGTCATGTAAAAATTCCTTCTTTGGGTCTTCTCTGAGAGAACAAAAAAAGTTTGTCACGCGCGATTGATACCGCAACTTGGTGGGATTCCCCACTCTCTTTTCGGGAGCTTTGCTCGCCATGGATCGTTGTGAAGCTTGTAATGCAATGCCTGGGGAGAGGAAACCAAAAAAGACAAAACTTTAGCTGAGAGTTTGTGTCACTGTTGTTTGTGATACTTACTTGTATCACTGTTGCAAAGACATCGTCTTCGAGCAACGTCTCGTATTGCTGAGCCCAATCCTGGTAGTGATTCCAATCCTTCGTTTGCCTCCTTGCCTCTAGCAAGATCGCATCACGGTACACAAACCGCTGCCACAGTCCTCTCACGGCTTCCAGCTTCGATTCTACCTCGGCATTGCTGATGTTCTATGCAAAAAAAAAAAGAAAAAACAAAAAAAAACCAAAAAAAAAAACGAAAGAAAGAATTAGAACAAAGATGAAAGCTTTCATACTCTCAAGATCGGATAAGTTCCGGGATCTTGTCTTCCGC